TCAAAACGCAGTTACAGTTCACATCTATTAAAAGCTTTAAACAATTTTAGCGTGTTTAAAAAATCTTATTTGATGCATGCTAGAAATTTTTAATATCAATAAATAATTTTTATTTTAAAATACTGTTAATTTCAGATATGATTGTATATACAAATAACCGTATTGTTAATTCATAACACAAAATTCTTTATTATTTCATACCACTTTGTTTATCAATATTCTTTATTACTTTATATTATAATATAGAAATCAATTTATGTTATGATACATAGAAATGCATTAACTTTCGTGAAGGAACTATTGTCAAATTTTTAATGTATTTAACAGATGATTTGTAAAATAGCTTTAATTTAATCTAAAATAATTTATAAATTTATTATTTTCTTTATATTGTGTTATTATTAGGTCAGTATTATTCTATTATCCTGTTATTTTTTAATATATTTTTATTTCTTTTTCGCAATGCTGTAATTATTTTAAATTACATTTTTTACACTCTAAATTTTATTTCTTAAATTACTTCATGTTATTTTGAAAACAAAAGCAGACTTACAGATTCATAAACATTTTATTTCATCACTATTAAAATTTAATCGATTTTATCTATATATATTCTATATATATCGATCAAACAAATCTAAATTGATTTTCTTGCGTAGCTGATCATCCGTGAAATAGATATAACAGTAACGTAGTTATTAACTTTTTTTTTTTCAAGTTCGACGAACTTTTGTAATATATGTTAACACGTTGACTGCCACACGTTGTTTCTATTTTCGATTGAAATGAGATGAAAATCATTGAGCAAGATATTATATATAGTATAAAATAAAAAATGTACTTTTCTTAAACTATTACTATACTAATATTTTAAACATAATATTTTATAGAGACTAAATATTAAGAAAATAAAATATTTCGAATGTAACAGCATAATTTCTACAAAAATTTAATAGCAATTTAATTAAGTAATTAATTAAAATATTGAAATATAGTATTAAAAAATGAATTATTAAAATTGTTACTTTGTGTACCGCTTAACTTATTAATATTTAGTGATAAGAATAAAAGAAAGAATTAAATAGTAAGCGGACGCAATTTGAAATTAGGAGATATTGATCACATATGTATTTACTTACAGTGGATCGAAAACCTATCATCTAGTCTCAGAGATTTGACTTCGTTTCGGCGCGGAATTTGTTCCGCACGCACGCGCGTACTCATTCCCTGCTGACAGGCTCGGGAAAATAAAGAAAAGAATCGAAACCTTACCGTTATGTTCACCCAACTCGCGCCATAATTATAGCATGGACTTGCTACTTGTGAGATGTATATAACCAGCGATATAGTCGTGTGTACACCATGCTGCAGCTAACAGCTAACTTGTTTCTTTCAGTAATTACATGAAATTGAATCATTGCTATCTATCAATGTTTGACACGTGCAATAATTCGCTTCTGATTTAGCTTGCGTGTGGTATTAATTAATATCACATACATGAATCTACGTATTAATTGCGTGCTTACTTCTGAAATAATAATGTACAGTTGATTTCATTGCTTTGGAAACTACAGTGTGTCGATGACGATGCAATTGTTAATATGAGAAACGGCATTAATTTTTTGAAAAATAGACACAGTTCTTATTTAATTCAATATTAATATCGATCATTTAATTTTTGTTTTGAATGTTAATTAATACTTGTTATGCATAGAAATACGATTTTCGAAAACTCTGCGTCTTAAGAGAAAAATGTCATTTGTTTTTATAAAAATTATTTTTTATTCAATATAGTTTTATGCAGTCGAACTTTAATATAGTTTTTCATTAACATTCAACATACTTCTTCAATAATTATTTTGTTTTAATATTAGAATTGTAAAAATTATTTTACAATTTATAATTTTTTATAAATGTTTTTAAAATAATTTATTAAAAAGTTATTTGTTTCATGAAGTGAAAAATAAAAAATACCTTTAATTTTCCCTAAATACTGAACATATATTTGTAGAAATCTTCAAGGCACTTTTTCCAAATTCATATAAGAAAATCATAATCATACTTTGATTATAGATTAATATCACAATACGTTACAATTTTATTATGAATTTAAATATATGTGATTTATAGTGTTTTTCTTTAATATAATTGTAATTAATAATAAAACAAAATTTAGTGAAAATTTTCTTATCGTTCTAATAATGAATACATGAATCATATTTTAATTATGAATTTTCTTAATATTAGATTAATATTAGATATGTTTTATAATTACATCTCTCTTTCTTTAAAATAGTTGTAATTAAATTATAGATGTTCATACCATTCTATATCTTTTTTTGTTTTTTGAAAAAATAAAGCCTAAATAGAAAATTGTTAAATGTTGTAAGAAATACGTTGTAAGAATATTTTATATATTTTACAATATTTTATACATTTTCGTACATATTTTGTACATATGCATTGTATGCATTTTCTTCAATTTCTATATTGTTATAGCAGAACAAAATTTAATGAGCATTACCGTGCAAAATTTAATACTTAAATAAAAAAAAAAAACTTAACTATACAAATGTTTCTTTATTGTAAAATTGTAAAATTAGTAAAGAAACAACAGTACAATTAAAATAATATTTCACTTGTTTCATTCACAATTTTCTTTAATGTAATATGTTTAAATAAATAAATAAGTATTATTACTTGCACGTTTTTCGCATTTCAATGAATAGTTTGCATACAAATGAGGTCATAGAAACAAGTACTTTCATCTAACCCTCATGTCAATGAAACAAATAAAGGATATCGAAGAAATAATTAAACCGGTCTTCCACTTTATCGCGAACTATATTTTTTTTTTTTTTAGTAATAGTATTACACGGCTCAATATTTTGTCTTAGCTCGCAGCTGTTCAGAGATAATTAGGATTCGTTCTTCGAGCACTATACTATTGATTGTGAGCTAATTGCTGTGACTTGCTATCTGCTATTCTATTTATTTCTCGCAATCTTATCTTGGAAAAGTTAGAAGTTAGACTTCACTCTTAAAAGGATACACGTACATGTAAAGGATACAATTCATGTAAAAAAATCTGTGTTCTTAACACACGTGCAATTATTTATATAGTGATGGACAAAGAAAAATTTAAGAAAATATATCGTATTTTTGAAAAACAGAATTATATTTAACAAGAGCATAGATCAAATGTAAAATATACTTCAATAGATTAATATATACAGATATATGTAAAACGTGAATGTATTAATATAATACAGGGTAATCTATTTAAGTGAGTACACCTAAATATTTTTGTACACTCGAACTGCTTCTCTTAAATACTGGCCACTTTTTTACCATAAATGAATATCATATCGGTCCTTTCTTGCGTTCAGTATTCCATTATAAATTATTGACAAATTTCGATAATTTTCGATAATTTCATTAATTTTCGAGCTGCTAGAATAGATTATCATTGACGATATAATAAATAATGAACATGTTTATTTATTCTTATTATTAGGTTCTCTAGTAAGGGTAAAGTATAAAATTTGTAACAAAGAAATTAAAGTGTAAGGAAAAAACATAATTTTCTATTTATATATTTTACTAAAAATCATTCAAGTCTCTAAAATATATTGTTACAAATGTATAAAATTTCTACGGAAAATTTTATAAAAATATAAAGTAATATAAATATAATATAAATAATAATAATAATATAAATTGGTGATTTTAATTACTTAAGTAATTTTGGAGTTGCAAAGTGATACTTAATCTTAATGAACGATGTTAACCTTGACAATCAAAATGGTAAACGAAATGAGGAATATTATATTTTGTATAACTTCTTTGTAAAATTTCCATTCATAATTCATCTAATTAATATTTATCTAATTAATTAATATCATAATTTGATTTATGGAATAGGTATCTTGGTTGTGCAATAAGCGTATAATTTTTTGGCTATTTCTTTTATAAAATGTACGCAAAAGTGATTTTGTGATATTTTGTTAATTTATTTAGGATCAAGCAATAAGTTATCATAATGTTATAAACTTTTCAGTTTCAGTTTCATAAAATTATAGAATCATAAAATATAGAAAGAAATTTCCTTTCATAGTTCTAATAATAAAACATAGAATTCATTAAATTGACATAAATAATATAAATAATAATTTATTTACGAAGTTTACAAACATAAATGTAATATAAATTAAATTGATATAAATATAATGCGATATAAATGAAATGTTGGATTAACATTGGCTTTTAACCATTTTAAATTTTTGACAATTAACACAAGTATATAATTGGTAATTCTTATGATGATATATTCATCTGTGAAAAAGAATTATATTTGGAATATTTTTGAAAGTACAATATATATTGTCTCATTAATTTTTTGTATTGGAATCATGTATCTCAAACGATGATAAGAAAATTATATAACGTGTAAAAAAAAAAGATTTATTTATAATATATTGAAAGTTTATATCCCAACAGATATCTATATGGAAAGTTATATTGGGATATGTTATTCCAATAATCTCGGAAGGATTAATAGACTAAGAACAATTATAATATAGAAATGACAATTTTGCTGACAACAATGCTTGTCCACATAAAGATTGAAAAGGAACAATTAATTAAAACGAAAGTTCGATAAACTTGATTTATTTACATTTTAACTAAATAATAAAAACAATTTTGTTTTTTTCTTTTTCTTCGATCGTAGCATGTTTTTTGACAAGGTCAGCGCAAGGTTGAATTAAAAATTTCACGATAATGATGATTGATTTTCTGATTATCATAAACACGGGTATCTTGTAGATTGTAGAAGTTAATAGATGAATGAGCAGTAAAAGCAACATGCAATGCATACAGCATGTCAAATGATGCTTGTTATTGCTATTTCTCCCCTTCTATAACGACGGACATTAATCATGGATGGAACCTGCTATTATTTCCTGGAAATCGCTTACATTCGAATAACAAATGCGAGATGAATCCTGAGCTTTTATTAAAGTTAAACCTGTTTACTATTTTCTCATTTATTTGAACATGTTACGTAAATCGGCGATCAAGATGACGAACGTTACATCATAAGAAACGAATTAAAATTAAATATGATTGCGCGTGCACGTTATAATATTCCTTGCGAATATTTCAGACAGCACGTAATTTAAATTGTGTTCGTTGTTACATTCTATTGAGTTTATTTTCCCCTGAAAACAAAAACAGCACATTAACACGACCCGATAATTCAATTTTATGCATTTCATTTTGCACTCGTAATTAATATAACTTACAGAATGTTGGTTGATTAAATAATTAAAATTTTATACGTACCAACCGGAATTTGCTTTCGCTGAAGCTGAGGCATATGAATTTCCACCGTATCCACCACCGCCACTGCAATGATATAGAAAAACAAACTGTTATTTCAATTATTTCGAATGTAATTTAATTTTGTTACAATTTAATTAGTGTGGACAATATAGTCTTTCTTAAGATTAATATTTTTATTATTGAATGTTGTTTTCTTACAAAGAGATATGTTGGTTTGAATTGGCAGTGAGTGAGTCACGTTCGACTTATTGTTAGTTAAGTTTGAATTTAAATTTCTTGAATAAGTTGAATAACTATATCAACCTTATTATTATTAGAACTACCAAAGTGATTAAAATCATTGACTTAAAATTTTATAGAGTAGGTTTACAGATTTACAATGTTGCATTTTTAGAGATTTTCTAAAATATATGAATTAAAGTTCATGTTTTTTATTGTATTATAAATTTTATTGTATTATTCTCTAATTTCTCTATTACAATTTTCATACTTTAGTCATTGATAATAATCTAGTATTAAACGAGGAATTTAAAAAATTAATAAAATTTGGTAAAACTCTAAGAAGAATTCATCTTAATGTATCTAAAACATGTTTAAAAAAGTTAATTAATAAGGACTATTATAAAAATCATCTGAGAATTTCTGTAGAACAATTTGATAATTTGTTCAGTTGTACATAGTTCAACGTTCGTTTATATTTGCATTTACTACCAGGTCAAATAGATTTTATCGTGTTTGGAATTATTGAATATTTTAATTTTATAAATAAATATATAATAAATGTAATAAATTATGTAATATGTAATATGTAATAAATTATTACTAAAGGATATAGAATATAATATTAACGTATAATATACTCATATGTACGTATAATATACTCATTTAACGTATTATACTATACATATTAATATATTAATATTGTATATACAATATTACGAATATTTATTTTATATATTGAATAATTTTTTCATACTCAAATGACCTTGTCCAAAGATTTAAAAAGTGTCATCTTGATTTAGCAAATCAATATCATTTGAAATAATCGTAGAAATAACACTATGTTTTTGCTAAATTATGGAAAATTCAGAAGATTCGTGCATTGTTTATAATGGATATTGCATTTATAGCTTTTTAAATATTGAAATAGTTTTCTTCTTTGAGTCTTAAAAATCCTTATCTATGTTTACGAATGTCAACTCAACTAGGAATAGTAATTCACAGAAAATTGGGCATTTGTAAAAATTTCAAGTTTAGATATTTTCATAAATGATTATTCTTTAAATAATTTATATTCATTTTTTATTTGACATAACATTTGTTATTTGATTATATTCATAGAATATATTAAAGAAATTCAACTGTGAATTCTGAGTGATCCTATATAAAAATTTAGTCTAATTTCTAGTCTATAGTATAATTTAGGAAGTCCATTTCATTTTGTTATGAATGTTTACGAATAAAGAAAAGTAATAGTATTAAATGAACAATCGATGTTGTTTAAAGCTTTGACTGTTTAGTTCTCTGCATAATACTCTACTTAGCATAGAGTATTATACAGATAATCTTATAAGCAATAATAAGTTGTTTAATTTACTTACTAAAAATTCAAAGAGGATAATATATTATAATAATTAAATAAACATACCAAAAAGTGTATATTTAAGAATGAATAGTTTGTTCACTTACACAATTAATAAATATACCAGTGAAATAAGCAAAAATTGTAGTATTCAGTGACTTATAAATAAACTTGACTAGATGAATGCTTATTATGAAATTTCTTTGTTGTTCGAGATTCGACACATAATTTATAATATTTTAAGAAAAAATTTGAATACGTACCATGTGCTGCAACCGCCACCGCCCGATGGATATCCGCCACCCGATGGATATCCGCCGCCTGTAACCGGTATAACAATAACGGGTATAATTTTTCGATATCCTACAAAAATAAACCCATATTAGAAGCGGAAGCGGCAATACACTGCATCCTTTCTTTAATAGCTTCAGAATGATATAAAATATATGGTGTACGATATGCCTTATGCTTTCATTAATAATTTATCATTATACGACATTAGCAGCATAATATAATATAATTGCATTCTTGTTAATATATAATAATTCGCATGCATAAAATTCTAAAGCATTAGCATTAACGCAATTGCATTAAATGTTTATTTAATAAGTTGCCAAACTATAAACCTGTTAATTAATTAATTAAATTCCAAATAATTAAAGCCTGTCTATATTATTATTTATTACTATTAATAATAATTTGTTATGTTTAATGTTTTATTTCAACACGTTCAAATTATTAGAGTATTTTTGTTTAAAATATATATACAAATAATTTTGTACCCACATATTTACAGTAACAAATAATATAACTAATTTATATTATTTATATAATCTCATAATAATTTTATAATACTCTTTGCTGATTTGATTTAATACTGAAGAAAACTGAAATATTCTCATTTCATTTTTAATTACACATTACAGAGTGTAATATCTAACTGTACCAACCTACTTACTATATGTATGAACAATGTTTCATACAAAAATTGTTTGGTATTAGAGAATGTGATGATTAATTTTTTCTTATTTTTTTTTCTCTCAAGATGCGAATATCATCTTGGATTTTCCGAATAAAATATAAAGTATTTAACTTTACAATTAACTCTTGCAATGCCAGAAAATATTGAACGTCAAGTAAAATTTATTGAACCATATAGATTCAGAATTTCAATAATTTCGTGACACAGGTTATATTGGAAAAGCTAATGATACACATTATATTTAAGAAAGACTTCAGAGCAAGAAATTGATTAAAAAACAGGAAAATTAATCACTACATTGGATAACCTGCTCAAATTATACCATACAAATTTCATGTAGCAAATAGTTTACGTACGACTAATTTAAGTTTGAGTAATGTGAGATTAAATTAAGGTGTTGACGAACGTGTTAAATGAGACGCTACATTTACAGTTTAGTAAGTTGAGTAATCGCCATTTAAGAAATTAAAGTTCCATTAAGATAATTTTATTCGTGAAATTGTATCTCACCACCGACGGGATGACCTCCATAGCCAGGAGAATGACCTCCACCAGGATATCCTCCTCCTCCACATCCTCCACCTCCACATCCTCCTTTATTGTATCCTTTATGCTGTCCAAGTCCGCCAAGTCCGCCAAGTCCACCAAGTCCACCAAGTCCGCCACCTCCTAATCCACCCCCGAATCCTCCGCCACCTCCTGCTCCACCGCCGAATCCACCGCCACCTCCGAATCCGCCACCAGCTCCACCACCGAATCCGCCGCCACCTCCGAATCCACCACTTCCGGGATATCCGCCTCCGCCGCCAGGATACCCGCCTCCGCCACACTTAAGGCACAGTGATCTCTTGTTACGAATTTTCTGTAATCTGTCCAATTTCTCTTTCGACGGAAACACGCTCTTCGCATCATCCTTGTCGAGTTTCACTCTGAGAACTTTTGTTTCACCACTCTGGTTGATCTTCTCAACATTGAAACCTCCGGTGTCTCTTAATTCGTCTGCAAATTTGTCGAGATCCACCGATGCATCCACAGTGTCTTCTTCGTTGTCATCGACTTCGATGACTAATAACACAGTTGCCAATGGATCTGTTTTAATTAAATTCTGATTAGTTCATTGCGATTACTTTGTTTATAATAGATGTGTATGATATTTTGATTATTTTCATCTTGCGTGATTGACAATGAGAATCACAGTAACCTAAATCAGTTCACTAATGTTTTTTAGTAAATTAATGTTTCAGTCATTGAAACGTATCGTGTAAGAGACGTAATGTAATTATTTAAACTATGGATTTTTGAATTTATACGAATATAAGTAAAAAAATGGAACTTAAATGGAAATTTAGACAAAATTTCCAAAAACATCTATGCTTCGATTTAGCTAATATTTGAAAATAGAGTAGTCTTACGTAGAAACAATAGTTAATACTTAAAATATTTTTAACATATCAGCACTCTATGATACGAGCTATATCGAATAGAGAGGATAATACTATATAACTGATGCGTTTCACAAAATTTTGGGTCTTAACTTTTCAGTTATCAAAACAATCTGTTTCAAAATTTCAGCGATATCTGAGCATAGTTCTTAGAATTTATTTGCATAAAATGTTATAATGGATGTCCTACTTTGCATGTTTTGTATATTATATAGATTGTGTGTATTTTTGCATATTCAAATCAGTCATATCTAAATGCATTCGTACTTCAGTTATAATTTAATACACTATAAAGTTCAAAGAATAAAACTGAATAAGATATGAAACTAATTTTTAAATTGTTAAAATTTTGATTTGTATACGATATATTTTTGAAATTAAAAATAATGTAAATATTACGTGTAGTTTAGTATTTAATAGTTTTATTACTACATAAACTATTTTATTTAATTTTCAATTTAAGCTTCTCTCCTACTCCTTTTTTTTATTTATATTTCAGGATGTAATTTGCTTTTAGTCACCTGTTAATTCTGGCACGTTTTTGATGACATCATTTTCAAACATTTCATCAGAAGTTTCGCCGCTAGCATTTTTCAGTCCAAAAAGATTGATAACAAAAACCATATATTGATGTTCCTCTTTTTCTGGATAAGGAGGAGGCACTAAGTCAGTTGATAAAGTATGTTCCTCTTCATTGGAAGGTGTGGTCGTTTCTTCTTCTAAAATTTATTTCAAATATTAATTTATAGATATATAAATTAATTTAATATTAATAATTAATTAATTTAGATATATAAATGTATATCTAAAATTTATTTCTTCTTTTCATTTATTACAAAAGAACATTTATTAATTCGTAAATCATTATTAATATTTGTCTTACATTAATTAAATTTTGGATATTTGATATTTTTTTACTTTGCATTTTATATGCACTAACTCGATACATTGATTTTTATATATTAATTTAAACTTTTCAAATATGTTTTTCCTTATTAAGGTGTAGTACTTTCAAAAATTATATACTCATATATAAATATTAATTTGCACATTTGAAATAAAATAATAAATATCATTTAATAAATATCAAATTAAACATGGACTGTGAACTTGTATGTTTTTTTAAAAAAAAAATTTCCATTTATAATTTGTATACTTTATAATTTTGTAATTGATATAGTTTACGCTATAGTTTCTAAAGGAATGAAATTAGTTAAATGACTATTTTATTCATATGATTTTATTGATATAATTATATAATTATATAATAATTATATAAATAAAATAATAATAATTAAATAATTTAAAAAAATATAAAAAAATTATAAATATAATAATTTATATAATAATAGTTAATATCATGCGTAAAGTAAACCAAAGGCGTATTATTGCATATATCAAACATTAATAGATAGCAATTTAATTTTATGTAATTATTAAAATAAGTGATATGCTTGTGATTAATGATGTCACTGGCATATCTTCCTTTTTTATGTTTGAAAAAAACTCTATTCATTTAAAATATACAAAAATTAGTAAAATTATATTGAATATTAAAATTACAATACCTATTGTAATACATATAACATTCTTTTTGGTTTATATAGTCCTGAGAAGATTAGTACTTCAGATTAAATATCTATGATATTACGAAGGAACTACATGCAATTAAAGCCTGAATGTATAAAACGACATTTGATATGCAACCTAATACATATCTTCTACAAATAGATGTAAATTATTAACAAAATTATGTAAATTAATTAAAAAAATTTGCACCACGAAATGGAATATTCCGTGACTAATGCTCTGTATCGCTAAACGCAGAATAGTTCGCAGCAACTAATTAAGAAGTCTATATATATTAATATATATTATAATATAATATATACTGTATTTATTAATATTTATTCTATATTTGTTATTTATTGATATAAAAATGAAACAAAAATATGAAATAATTTTGCTTTGTTTTCGAGAGTTTGAAAATGTATTAAAATATATTAAAATATATTAAAATATATCTAGCCGTATGTATTAAATATATCGTTTGAAAATGTATTAAATATATCTAGCCGATTCTGAATTATACAGTATAGTCGGTAGAAGTTTAGTTTAATCTCATTTCAAGAAAATAGATGATGTTTAATTATGAATTGGCTTAGCAAACATATATTTAATAAATTTTTAAATTTAAATTTAAAAATTATAAATTTTTAAATTTTCTCGAAAGCCAAATATCTTACTAAAAAATTTCTACTCTGACTTTTGACTTAAATCTCTTAAATAAATAAAATAACCTTTTGTTTACTGTTCATTCCCGAGCAAAATTCAGTTACTTATATTTAAGCATAATTGATAATTATATAATTCAACTTGATTTTCTCGAAAACCTAGTCAGAAAAAGTTTTATTTCACATTTTCGCCATATTTTTAATCGTCCTATAGCCACTCTATTTATTTATTATGACTATACTCAACTTTCGATGTTTTTAATATTTCATTGTCAATAAAAAAATAACAGATATTGAAATCGGAGAAAATTCTAAATAATTTGATAAATCAAGTATGGTCAGTGACTTTTGGTATCACAATTTAAATCGTCATGCAAATGGGTGAAAAGAATTTGCCTACGTGGATGTGCATTGTTTTCTTACCTTTAGCTGGCGCAGCCGAAAGGGCCGTAATAACCAAAAGTAGGAGCAAGGCCCTGAAACTCTTAATCGTTTCGCGGCCCATTGTCGAGAGCTGGTAACACTCAGATCGCACTGTGCATCTGATCTTTCATCTTACTGCTTTTATAGCCATCGATCTTTATACACGCACTACTTCAAGGCAATTATGTAATGCGTTGTGCCACCTCTTCTTCCACTGCCGCGTTCCTCTACTACCATTAATATCTCATATTTTCGGTTTTTCCGTGGGAATTCCAGTTGCACGCGTTCGTGCACACTGTAATGTTTCGTTTTCAAGCGAAATCATGTTCGTCTAACGCTCTTACAATATCAGTCGATCGCAATTTTGTAAGTGCGTATTTGCATTGTACGGTGCAGAGAGAAGTGTGATTGGTTAGTATCGTGTCCAGGAAACAGTGCGTCGATAATCGAGTTTTAATCAACGATCATTCTGTGTTTCGTGGAATTTGCGTAAACTATTTGGATAGACGATTTTGTTATGTCAAAGAGATTAGAGGTGAAATTGAAAAAATTGACTGGTTTATCGATTCGTCGAACGTGTTGAATAACATTGGTAGTTAATGCATACGTTGTATCTGACCTTAGTGAATGTGTTATATGTGATAAAAGAGTTTACGTATAAACGTTTTATATTGAGACATCAACGACATTAAAAAATGACATCTCTTACTGGTGAAAATAAAATAAACAGACCAGATAGTATAAATCGTCAATAAATTGTTCATAATATGTGATATAATGAACTTTTACTTGTTAAATTCGTGTTTCTGAGAATGTAATTAAAAAAATAGAAAATTTTCTTGATAAAAAATTAATTTATTGTCCACAGTGTCTTGAATATTTTATATATATATTATATGATAATATGAATTATTATAACAATATAAATGTATAATAATGTAATATGAATTATGTGCATTTTATGTAATTCTATACTTTAAGATTTTCTACCTAAGGTATAAAAATTTGTGGTGTAGTTATAACGTTGATAGATATTCATTATGCAAATATTCTCTGTATGTCCATTGTTCCTCAATAAAAAATGTAAAAGATTCAAAAAGTATTCTCTTCTTCATTCTTCTACATTTAAGACTACTGAAGTCTGTTATTTCGATTGCATAATAAATTCGAGTTAAAATATCTTTGAACAGAAATTATTGAAAATTGGCCTTTGTTTCTAACGATATTTAAAATTCTTATAATCTTCTTTAAAATAAAACTATAAAATTATTGCATACATGTGACTTCTTCTTTTTTCTTTTCTTCTTTTCAAATTAATTACGTGCTGCATTGCAATGGTACTCAAGGCCAAATTGGGTATTGTTATCTCACGAGATGTTGCAGTGTTAATCGTTTTATAATACTGAATAGTTTTCATCGTTTTTAAATAAATAATGATTTTTTAATATAATTTAATTTAAATATGTAATATTTTATCATGTGTGAAAAATTATAAATAAATTTTACTGCCAGAAATAAAAATAATTTTCGTCTTAAATATCAACTTTCTAAATAATTTTTAAGAAACTGTTTAATGGTAACATACTTTTAAATAATATATTTATATTTAATATTTTAATTGTATTTCTAAATTTTAATATTAATTATATTTAATTATGCATTGTATAATACTTAATATTTAATATATTAATGATTATATAATTCTTAAATTACTTGAGGATAATAACAATATTTGAACTAATATAATAACATAACATACTTTTAAGAACATATATAAAATTTATAATTTATATAATTATATTAAATAATATAATAATATAAGATATCATAATATATATTATAATAATCGTAATTATGCGAATATTCATATATATTCAAATTTTTATGAATTGAATTTAAAATAAATAAATGAAATAAATTATTTTATAATTAAAGAAATGGAATCTAAATACAGATTTATTTCAATGTAAATAAATATAATAAATGAATGAATACGTAGAGAAATACTAGGTAGTAGAATGTGTAGATGTAATGAAGAAGAGGATGGAGGCAATATACACTAAACAAGTATATAGGTACATTTTACATGATTCACACAAATATGTACTGCATATGCTTCAACTGTCATGATCCTTTTTCTGGCTGATTGTGTCATGACTTAATCTTTTTTTAAATGTGTTAATAATAAAATTCTTGGAGTATCGTAATACAGAGAAATAATATTAATATATATATTAAATATTATGTTATATATGATATAATATATATAATATGATATAAATATTACATGTAATGCAATAATTTAATAATATAACGCAATATTGATTATTTTGATAATTAATAATTATTAAATATATATTGTTTAATACATATTTAAATTGAATCTAATTATACAGTATATCATATTTTTTTATAAGAATAATAATAATAATTAATGTGATTATAATAATAATTAATAATCACATTAATCGTATAATAATTATACTACTTTATAATGTACTAATATTTAATATTTAATATTATACTAAATTAAGTAACACAACACAAAAAAATATTCGCAAAACTTCCTGTTAATGAAGAAAAGAAAAAAACTTCCCCTATGAACCGTTAACAAATGTAATTTATGTTAATCTCGATGATATACAGAGATAATTAGAGGTGATACTAGGAAACCCATTTTATTGTGGTTCTTTTTGATTCATGTCTACCTGAATTGATTTATGAAGTTTCCTAGGCAAAATGGTGAGCTCATTGATTCGTGTGGATCGTACAAATAAAAATCTGAAACCTATTAGACAAGTAATCGCATCATGTACTTCCTGTTGATTGTTTCAGAATGTTAATCTTTTGTAACCTTGGCCTATAGAGATATCTATGAATAGTAAGGAATTCGATGATCACATTCTTCAACAAAGACCAAAAGAAGTAACAGTTTGTAGAAAGTAAATGGAAGCCTTTCGATAACTTTTCTATTTTTTAATGTTCATTATATCTAGCAATATTTTGCAACGTTTCATGCAAAGTGATATTTTTTAATACATATATGTTTAGTATGATCGACGAAGTATCTTCTAAGATATAATAAATGCTATTCAAATAGAAATAATAACAAATGATTGTTTCGTAAAAATTGCAAAATACTAAGTACTTTTGTAATTTTTGTACTTCTATATATGTACTATTTTTCATAATATATTTTTCAAACACATATATATTTATTCTTTGTATCTTCTATCTTATTCTAAATACTAATGAAGAGTATGAAATACAATTTCAGTAAAACAAATTAATCTTTATTGTAAAAATTTATTAACCTTAAATATTGTAAAAATTATAAAGGACGAGAAATTTTTGGTAATTTTTGTGTCTTGTATTTTTTAGTCAAATACCTTCTAAGATGTTATAAAAAGTTAAAGAATACTATTTAATAATAATAACAAAATTTATATTTACAATTAATAAAATGCAATTTAAATAAAAGTAAGGATAAATTCTTTTTAAATCAAAAATCTAAAATTATAATTTTAAAAAACTAAAAACCACTCTTTTGTACCACTTTACACACATACATTTATTTTTTGATGAAAAAGATTAATCAAGACTATAAAACGCTATTTAAATAAAAATAATTATAATAAATTGTTTGTTGACTAACTTAAAATTGCAAACAACTCTAATTATCCTTAATTATGATCATGACTTACGTAATTATACTGTTTAATTTGTATTTTTCCGGTGATATCCAGCGTTAGTGTTATTCCGTATACATATCGCACAAATCATTTTCCAACATTAAGAATGACAGATTTTTTGCATTAATACATTCATTCTAATGCTAGAATATACTATACCGTATATAATTGTATAATGAAAGGTTGCATGCAGGAAACTTCACTATTAATTTATTAAACAATTTTGATTCTTTTTCCTATTGTCTATTATCTATTAAACAATATTCTATTTTCTAATATTCTTTCAATATTGTTAGTTATTAATAAATAAGTATCTAATTAAACAGTGTTAAAATATAATAAACCATCGAGTAACAATATAATGATTAAATCATTTATTCTATGTATTAATAAAAACAGAAGAAAAATTTAAAAATATATATTTAAAAATTCAATTTCTAGAAATTTTTGTTTAGTTCATTGATTTTATCCATAAGAAATATAATAAAATTTTCTTTACAATCTGTTTTTACAATAGAGCATAAATAAAATTTTAACATTATATTTTTATTATTACAAATATATTTTAAAAAGTTAGAAATTGTCATACAAAGTGCTTCGTTCAACAATCGACACAATTTCTCAAGCATTTGTAACAAAAAATATGTATTATTAAAAAAATTGTTAATCAAAATTTTCCTTAAGTTTACAACATATGACGCAACATAAAATACTTCAGTTTTCTGATAAACTCGAGATCACAAGATATATATGGAACAATCTCGACATAATATTCACACGATTTTTCAGGCGTTAGCAGCAATGTAATGAAAAATTTTTCTGAAACGAACTTAATCTCTATTATCTACTACGCAGTATAATAGGAAAAAAATTATGATTCTACTTAAAAGACGTAAGATGGTATTGAGTTTATATTAGAGAAATGAAACATTTCTTAAATTTTTATTATCGTTATACGTTTTATATTTGATATAAATAAATTTTGAGTAATAATTGTATTTACAATATCAGTTATGTTTCAGGGTGTTGTAAATTATACCTAAAAATTCATGCAGAACATTAGGCACAATTTAAAATAAAAATTATTTATTATTATTTTTTACTTACAATTAATTTTACAATTAACTTTTTTACTTACAATTAATTTTACAATTAACTTTTTTACTTACAATTAATTTTACAATTAACTTTTTTACTTACAATTAATATTAAAGTGTAACTTATAACTAAATAAAAATTATAATAAATATTCTACTTTTAATATTTTATATATTTTTGTATGTACATTATGTACTCTTTGTATATTTTCGTATCTTTAAGTTGTAAAGACTTTAAATAAAATTAAGTCCCATTATAGCCGATAACAATTATCTAAAATACTATGCAATTATCTACAAAAATTAAATAATTAGCTAAATAAAGGTATTTAACCTTTTGAATACTCAATAAAATTGTCAAAAAGTTTAACAACGAATGAGAAATATATAATAAAAACTTAATTAATTAGTATGTTTAATTAAATAGTAAAAGTGTTTAATTAAATAGTAAAAAAAAATACAAAAGTTTGTTTGCAAAATTAATATTGACATTCATAAAATTTTTAAAACCATCATCAAAAATATTTAAACTCAGCTTTATTTTATTTCTCTTCATTTTTATGAAAAGTAACACACGACCGATAATGATAAAAGAAAACAATGTCATATATTTATACATCACTCATCTTTCTTGTTAATTTTACCAAATGTATAATACGAGGAAAAATCAATGTGTATTCATATCCGGATATATTCTTGGAAAGTGGAACTGAGGTAAAGTTTCACTAACACTGGTATACAATATACGATGTTCATATATATATATATACGATATGCAATTAGAGAGGCCAGTAAATTAGATGTTTTATTCACGAACGGGGATTTTTTAAATTGCCTGTAATATAATCACATCAAATGACGTCCGCGTAGAACGAATCACTTAAAACAATTACCTATGTTATTGCATACCTCATAAGCATGAAACAAGACTATTTTATTGGAAATAATTCAATGTAGAAATATTATGTAAATAATCACATTACACAATACATCCATTAGTCAAATATTTTTTCATAGCTATCGTTAAGCATTTTATTAACACGTTTTTTAAAGAAAAAAGGAACTAAACAAAAAGGTCTTGAATTTGTGGATTTTGCGATCACTATATCAATATTCGCGTCAATTTGCGTAAATAAACTTCTACAAAAGGTTTGGGTTAGGTCTGAGTTAGGTTACATTTATTATTTAGCTGTCATCAATAAATTTGGACTAGAATTTGAATATACATACATATGTATTTTAAGCAGTCTGTTGGAAATATTCTTTGTAGACAGTTTTTGGTGATTTTGGACAGTGACGTTATTAGTTACACAGTTTTTAACTCTCATTGCATATTTGTTTCGTTTCTGTAATAACTTGTTTCTTGATATTTTCAAAATTTGCATATTTTTAAAGGAATATGATGAAGTGGAAAACATGTCTTACTATGTAACTCATATATTTTAAAGAAAATATATATATACATATGTAGAGTTGAAACATGTATTATAGATCAAGGACTTAAGTCGAATAAACACTTGTTTTAATGAGCATTATAATAATTAGGCATTAGTTGGAAAAAATTATACTTAATAAATGAAATATAACATAATATAAAATATTAAATACAATAACGTTAAATATTTTTTTGTACATTGTTATATTAAATTAGAAAAAGAATAAAAGAACAATAAAGTTTTACAAAAAAACACTGACTTCTATAATGAAATTTATTTTTGGAATATGAGAAAGGAAATTGTGACTTCATGTATGTACTTAAAATTAATTTTCAAGAAGAAACAAAACGATCTGAATAGTCACATCCTTTATCTAAATAACTCGAAACAATAAGTGTAAAGAAATTCATAGGAAATACCTAGAAGTTTTAATTGTATATGAAATTCGTTGAAAATTATTTCGAATAATATATGTTGATGATCATATAAAACGTAATTACCTTTTAAAAACAATTATTTTTAATTCGGCAGTTAAATATCATTTAATTTTTGTTATTAGCATGTTTTAATACACTCTTTAAAAAATTGCTTCCAATTATATAAGTAATTAAAAGTTAAACTGTACAACCAGTCCACACAAATTTTAATTTTTTTATGTCATTATTAGATTGTGAATATTTTTACAAATTTATATTGTTATAAAGACGAATGAAGAAATACTTTCTTTCTTGAATTTTCATTTCTTTTAATCTATTATAATACATTATAAATTATAATAGATTTAATTTATTTAATCCATTATAAATTATAATAGATTTAATTTATTTAATCTATTATAGACTTAATCTATTAAACGTTATAATAAGAATTTAGAGCTTCCATATTTCATATATGTATAATACTTTCGTATATTATATATATAGGTACTTTTACATTCTGTGCTTTTACATTTTTGTACTCTTAAATTTCTCGTAAATGCAAAAAGATTTGCAGTTTAACCATTTTACTTTTTCTTAGATATTTATCATAGATTTTCTTATATAATGTTTATTTGCATGTAAATATATATTATCCATTCAATGGACTCAGTTTATATGATCTGTTGAATTACATGACTTACAAAAAGATTAATACATTGAAAAGGATTAACATGTTGAAAAATTGCAGGATACATGTAAAAACGATATATTATTATATAATAATATTAAATTAAATATATTAAATAATATTAATTATTAAAGTGTAATAATTTTGGCTGAAGGTATATTTTCTTTTCAAATTATAGAACTACAGAATGATTTATGTGCTTTATAATTTTCCGAATTGGTAAGATTAAATGTAACTATGCATAATAACACTTAATATACAATATGTACATTATTAGATTAAATTAGAATAAATGAATTAAAAATTTAAATAATTTTATGAATCTGCATATGCATTTATCTATAGTATATATGATTAGTATTATCTGATTTTTTTTGTTATTATAACGAGATTAATCTTTTGCCACGGAAAAGATATAAGATAGAGCTGTTATCTTATAAGCATTGAATCTTTTGTTCTGAAATACCGATTGTGTTCAAAACTCACACGTTGTGCCCTCTATATTTCACAGTAACAAATTTTAATTGAGTCAGCCAATTCACAGACGAAATATATGCCTCGTCTGAGCCTCGCCTGTGATTATAGTTATCATACTATGATAACGTTAAAAATGCTGTTAAAACAGAATCCTGTCATCCTAAAATATAGACGAGGTCTGTAATGAGATCATATATATACCATGTTTATATCTATGCCCACAGATACATGCTCTGGCACAAATGAAGTTTCACTACTTAATCAATTTCGACAATTTTTTACAATTTAATTCACTGTTCTTTAAATATAAAATGATTCTTTTTTTTTTTTTGTTACATCGGTAATTCAGAACGTCTGCATGATAACTCGTAAGATATGTCTATTTTGTATTTCATCTGTAGTCATCAATAATTGCAAAGATGTCGCACGTAGTTCAGGACTATTATTTGACCTTGAAATTCTCCTTTACCTATTTACCATTACAATGTAGAATTAAATTCATTGAAGATGACATGGGACGAGATAAACGTTCATTCATTTTTATAGCAATTGTGATCAAATGATAGAAATTACGTTCATTACTTATATTTCGTTTGTGAAAAATTAAATTATTTTTTCTGTTGCGCTGTTTTATTCTTATATGAATGACCTTGTTAAAATTGTGTAACGTGTCCATCAACAATTTATGTACTTATCTGTTACATTTATCTGTTAATTTTAGGAAATATTCTATAAAGAAAAACGACGAATGAAAACAATGAGTTTACTTTATCTATAATTTTTAATTTAAAGTTATAACGTTTGTATATGTATTTGGAAGTTAATGATTTTGTGTATGTATTTTCCATTTTTAAATATACGATTACATTTGCATTTTCTCTGTGAAATCAATTCAACAGAGTTATTTCAGAAAAATAATGATTAATATTGAATGCTTAAAGATAATTTTTTACAGAATTTCATTTTTGATCAATAAATCAATTTAAGTCATTTTCAACGAAAAATGATTTGCGATAAATATACCTGTATGTTGTTGTTGTTAAAACTTTCAATCATTGAATTATATTCGAAGAACTAAATTAAAAAACAGGAAGATATTTGCATGACATAAGTTCTATATATATTTTAACTTTTTAATTCAGAAACGTTATTTATATATATTCTAGTCATTTAAACAGAAAACCAATTAGAATTACATTTTTATTTTATATTTACAATTATGTGTTTTTAAATGTACCTAAATTTAAAAATTATTTATTTATTTTATTATTAAAATGGCGTTAGATAAATAAAATAAAATCGAAGTTATTTGTATACCGTTGTTCGTCTTTGTTCGTTATTTTCTCATCAATTAACTAAAAAGACAATTACAAGATAATTAAAGTTATTTATATATTTTTGTTCATCTTCGTTCATCATCGTCATAATTTCCAGAATTAGGTTGCCATGTGTGTATATGAATTTTTGGTTGATTATCGTTCCATCTTGTTCCATGTGCCGAAACGTGTAACTTAATTGGGCCACGATTCTGTTCACGTTGCGGTTTTACTGTGATGTTTAATTTTGGCATACGTGAAGGATGGTGGCCTAAAAAAGCAGATTACAGTTAACAGACAATCTCTATTTATTTTATTTGCTAATTTCCTTATGATTATTAAATATGGTACAATAGAATTTCTCATATCCGAATATTTTAATATCTAAACAGAATATTTCCTAATAACTGCTACTTTTTCTTGCACTAAATTATTTTGCATGATTATTATATATTTGCCATGTTTTCCAAAAGACCTTACTAAATGTAAATGCAACTCTACAGAACTACGTATGCTGAAAGAGTTAGGTAATTCAACTGCCAAAAAATGTATAGCATTCTCAAACAATAAAATAAATTGACTCCTCAATTCTCATTTAAGTACACGCAATTTAATATCTACTATTCAGGAAAAATTGGGCATTATTAAAATAAATTTTTATTTAAATAGTTAAGCAAATAAAATCTTTACTTTATTTGTTATTTGTTATTTTAGTTAAGTAACAGTGTATTGGAAAATATTCTATTATTATTATTTGATTATATTTTATTATATAATCCGATTACATTATTTTATTAGTTGTAATGTTTTTATTTGAAATGAAGAAATTTGACTTTATCAGGAAAAAAATTTTTATTCTATAGTGATGTTCTAACACACATATATACGTAAAAAAGTATTATTTCTTATTTTGCATTGTTGTTTGAAATTATCATTTGAAAATAATTTATTTTTCAAATGTAGTGTAATTTATTTGCATTCGTTCTTATTTCAAATAGCTTATTTTGAAGTTTATTCCTTATCTTATTTGAAGTAATTATTATTCATTTTATTTTTATCTCAAATATAAAAAGCATCCAAATCTGATCTAAAAATTTCGTTAACTGAACACATTTGTCTTTTTACTAATTTGGGAAGCTATTGTATTTAATAATTAGTGGTAGTGCCAGTGACCTATTTCTATGAATATTTTAGAATAATAATTTGAGAATTATATGCACTTTTGTATCTATAAATTTTCTGAAAATGTATAAAAATCTGCAGTCTAAAGTAATTTTGTGGAAATTAAATATTTGATTGGACGAAACGTACAAAAACATTACTTACTATATCAGTCGTATAATACTTAATCCATTAAGAAATAAGCAATAATTTGTTTTAATGTTACAAATATTTCAATTTCCCCAAATTTCGTGGAATCAGTTTCAGTAAATTGTAGAATCTAGGTAAAGGTGTAATACAAAAAAATATTAAAACTTTTTGAAGTTTTCTTTCACAACTCAAATATTAAAAGAAGGAAAGATTTTGATAGTACAATTTAATTAAAAAAAAATTGCAAATGAAATGGTCTTTAATGTGTTAATTAAGCTCAAATATAAATTTCGTATGATTTAATATTATTTTCACACCATTCAAAATTATATAAAAATGACACGTAGAACCTAAAAAGCTTCATTGAAAAATAAGTGAGCATGCAAGTATTTTTTACAGCCATCATATAAATTGCGCGCGGCAGGTATTAATTATTAGTTACGCGTTATTGAAGCGTTGAGTAACTTATTCAATGCACTAAGTACGTATTTCAGTAAAATCTTTGTGTGAGGCACGCAAGGTTATCGATTGTATGAATAAACAGTATGAAATTATGTATTTTGATTATGATATTATACTTTCAAATGTAATCATTAAATCATTAAACGTACGATGATTAAAAGTGTATTTGACGTGGTATGTGACGCGATGATCAATTAACATTTCTATTAATGCTAGCAGGTAAAATCTGTATGCAAAATAGAAAATGTTAGTGAACATCAATATTATCGTCACCATTATGTTATTTACATATTTACATTACTTATTTGAACATTAGCTAATTTAAACTAAATTAATAACTTAAATTAATATTAATAAAATTAATAAATTAAACTAATACTTAAATTTAAGCTAAAACGTTGTTATTTAAACGTTAGTATTACCGTTATTATTGTTATTAGGACGAATATTGGTCCAGATTGGTCGATTTTGACTTTGCCCTGGAAACCGGATAGTCATTCCTTTCGAAGACGTGATAGCAGAAGTCGCATGATTGTTTTGATTACCAGATGAAGAAGCAGCTGCACTGCCAAAACCAACTTGGCTGTTCATATTTCCTTGATTACCATATACAGGGTAATGTTGACTAACTGCTCCGGACACAGCACCGGAGATTCCTGTTAATCCTGCGGAGAATGACACCGACTGACTTTGCGAAATGCTCCTGGGAATAGATACGTGTACACATTAGTATCATAAAACTGTTTTACGTTAGATCATACGAGATATTTATCAGTCGGTTCACTTATTAGATTTATTTATAATTGATTTCACGCACGAGATACAGAAGAAAATGCAGATTTCTTTTTTAATTAATCTCTTAGAATAACATTTTGGAGACACGATATAAATAATAATGAATAGAATGATAGATTAATAAATAACAGTGAATCTAATAGCATCAAAACAGAGTTAGCGAATGACTTGTCAATGAATCATCTTTTATTTAAAATATGCTAACAAAGTATCTTGTATGTGTCGTATTTATGAAAAAAAATTTGAATAGTTAGCACGTCAAGTTCAGCTAGAAACTTCAAACTTCAGTTTAGTACAGTCTAATATGATATTAGTACAGTTTAATATGATTTGTTTAAAATTGTAAATTTTGTAAATTGAGAATTTAGAGATTCTTTGATAATAAGAATAATTCAACTAGATAGATCCTTTCATACTGAAAAATGAATGAATCATTTGGGATTTCTTACTTCTCACACGAAGTATTATAAAATTTATCTTTCACGTTCATATTTTCCTATTTACGTACTTTTTATATATTTTTCTATCGAATATTAATAAATATTTTAATTAACTAAATGAATTTTTTAATAGTTTATTCACGTACATTGCCATATATATTTTATTTCAATATTTAATTTATCAATATTCGGTCAAAAATCTAATCTTGTACATTTTATAGTTAACCATATAACTGATCATTCTGCATAGCAAATTTTCTAATAATTTTCCAAGTTTACTTTAAAAATTTCATTAAAAATGTTTTCACAAGTGTCCTGACACTTATGATTTCATTTGTGAGAATGATAAAATATAATTATACATATAATGATTTTAGAATAAATTTTTTCCAACAAATAAGATTAATTTTTTTCCTTGTTATATCTGTTGCATATAACAATTGATATTTAGATCAATTTTAACGTGAAATTTAATTGTTTGAAACTGAAATACTCTGTGTAAAATATTCAAAATAAAATATTTATGAATATATTTAATAGATGAAAACAAATTTCTGTTTGGATTCAATTTATTTGATTATTTGATTTGGCTATATATAAAGGTATAATGTCGCACAAACACCCGCAGCCTAGTTATTTAATTTCAGTAAATTAATCCAAACAAGAAATGATTTATTTGATTTTTACACGAGATAAAGTTACACATTTTCCACATGTTATCTCTAAAATAAATTCGTAGAAATGATTAGCTGTATCGAATCGTTATTTCTTATACTTATATTCAAACAAAATTTGCCCAAGCCCGGTTTATTGTTACGCTATCTCTGTTATGTCGCTGATCACGAAAACGTACCCACTCGCTCCAGACAATGGATGATTGAAGCTGTTGCTTTCAGAGTAGCTAACGCCTTCGGGCCGTAGTTGAAAGCCCAAAGAGTGTGCATTGTTTCCCGCGTTTACGTGGATATTTGTCGTGATTGGAATAGACAACGATCGTCCGCTTTTCGCATTGGACGTCTTGATTACTTGCTCTGGTGGTGTAAGCTCCGGTGGTGTGTTCCATCGTCGTTCATTTTCCTCTGTGAGGAGAACGCGATCATCTACCAAATGAGATACGTTACATCGTGATACGTTCAAAGCAGAAAATCTCCCGTAGCTATAGTTGTTTCATCGTTTCTCGTTTTAAAGGAACATCACATTGAAAAATAGACCAACCTTGACGTTCAACGAATTGAGTAATTCGCGAATGAACGCGAGCACAAACTGTATATTTGTCATAATAAATTAGATAAATTAATCTATTACAATAGTAAAATAATAAATAGTACAATAAATTAAATTAATAAATTGACCACACTTTGTGCTCAATTGTCCCTTTTTATGTAGCTGACGGTCCAATCCCTTTCTATAATTGCTAATAATTTAGTTTAAATTTTTATGGATTTGTAGCATTTTTATAGATTCAAAGTGCAAAATAACAAGTTATATAATCAAAATGTCTATGAAAAGAAAAAAATAATTGATATCAGTGGAAAATGCTATAGTGATTAAGAACATCTCACCTTTTATGAATGAAGATATAATATACTATATTAAAAGCATACAAAGTATAAAATCAGAAACGTAAGACTTATTTTTGTTACTTATTACTTAATTGAAATGAATTTATATTTATCATTTATAATGAAACGAGATAAAACATGAAGTAATGAAATAAAATTTTTATGAAATTTTGACTTAAAATTTCATTTCCGCAATTTGTATATTTGTATATCTTCAATTGACTATAATAATAGAAAAATAACAAAATTAGACAAATGAAAAGATGATAAAATAAAAATAAATATCTCTCTGAATATAAAATTAGAAACATGACGTTTCATATCAATTTTTAAATAATAAACTGATGAATTAAAAAGAAAAAGTTTTATTTCAACGCTATTCTCTAAAATTGGTAACTATCTAAAAGCTTAATATAAAATTATTACAATATTGTAATATTACAAAAAGTAAAAATTTAATATTCTCTGAATACAAAAATAGAAAAATGGCACTATTTGATAGTTTCTCAGCCGAATAAACGTTGAATGGCAATATTTCTCAAATGTTAGTTGATGAAATAAAAAAAGAAATATTTTATTTTTAATATTATTTTCTAAAATTTAATAATCTCTTAAGAGTTTAATATTAAATAAACAGTAACAAATCATCACTACCTACGTATTGCATGTATTAGAAATTTCCATTTTAATTATGTCATCGTATACTAATATAAGGAATATATATGTAGTATATTTCTTTAAAAGAATCACCAGATAGTAATTATTTATATAGAAACAATATATCGCGTACACACAGACGAAATATAAATATAAATGAAAATATTTAAAGATGAGAAACACACACCACACGATATGTATTTTTGGTTTGAGAAAATTATTTTTACCTGCCCACGTCACTAATAACACAAACCACAATGGCACAACGTAAAGAATGTTCCTGGCCATTTCTAAAAGCCTTCTGACTTACGTGCGACTGCTGTCTGCCCTTTTTCAATAAGTATGAACGACCTTAAAATCCTTATTGACATTCATCGTGTGTCCGCCCACGTAATACTCTTCGACGAATAGACTTCCAGTCACGCAATGACTCGTACGTACGAAAAGAAATGGCATTATCCAAAAATACTTGTCCATTTGAGACAATGCAATTTTTTTTCTAAATATAATCGAAAAAATATTTGCAAACTTATCATAGAAGATTTTTACGACTATATTTGTGTATTTATATAGACTATAATAATACTTTCAGGAATTTTAGCAGTATTGTAATGTGACATAAATGTCATGATTATGTATAGTTTAAAGTTTAAAATAGAATGTATGATTGATATTAAATTAAATTTTGAGTGTTTAACCCGTACTAGATAATTTTATAATTAACAACAAAATAATTTATTCATTTATTAAAGGTTCTGACATAACATATTACAATATATTGTTTTATATTGAATAAATTCATAATGAATGTATCAAATTGAATCGTTCATATTGAATAAACATATCAAAAGTATATGTTTATAGATGAATTTATTTTCATTCAATATTAAATTTTTAGATTTCTGATAGTTCCAAGTTCTTAAAGAGTTAATATGTATAATAATGAATGATTTATCATTTAAATACTTTTGTTGTTACTGTGAAATGTACGATACAATTTAATTTATAAATATATGAAATTAATTATACTATTTTATTGTTTTATTGTTTTCTCAAAACATATCAAAAACAAACAAAATTAAACAAAATCATAAACAAAATTATAAATTAAAAATTAAAAATTTTGCTAGTAAATAGAATAAAATATATACTAACGATTAAGATATTAAACTATTTAAAATATTATACTAATTGTACTAAACCATTAAGTATTGATTATACTGTAATAATTAAATACTAAAATAATTAAATATTTAAATACTTATTATACTAAACTAACTATTAATTATGACGTTGAAATGATTCTGATACGTAGTGTTACATAACATATAAACAAAATTATAAATTAAAAATTAAAAATTTTTGCTAGTAAATAGAGTAAAATATATACTAACGATTAAGATATTAAGCTATTTAAAATATTATACCAATTATACTAAACTATTAAATATTAATTATACTTTAATAATTAAATACTAAAATAATTAAATATTTAAATACTTATTATACTAATTATACTAAACTAACTATTAATTATACTTAAATATTTAATATTAATTACACTAGACTAAATTAAGATATTAAACTATGCTTCAATTTGTCACGATTTGAAAAATTTAATAATAACCAGAGCAATAATTTCGAAAATACTATAGCATTCTAATATTAAATTGAATAAGTATATACACATATTACGAAGTTTCATGAAACCTTGGAAAGTGGAAAAATAAAAACTCGACTAAGAAATGTGGAAAATCTACTCTTTTCTAATCTATTCTTTGTTTCTTTTTGTTATTCACGTTTTGTCTACACGAATAGGTATATCCATAGAATGAAAACAAAACCTCGCGTATAATTTCAAATACTCAATATAAAGGAATGAAAACAAAATTCTATTTATATATTCCCTTACATACATTTATTCAAATTCACTAGTAACATAACGTCAATATAAAAATTAATTATAGAAATTATAAAATCACTCGTGTCCCTCTTTCATCACAAACTACTGTACTCGTCATTTCACATTCGCAATAATCCCATTGTTATCGGCCGGAAATTTCATTTACCGATGACATTCAGGTATCTCATTAGTCAGAATTGTCTTGCGTTTCAATATCCTTCTCGTGTGATTGTTCAGTTGTTTGTTCAGTGCTTTTAGTGGTGACGTTTTCGGATTTCCCGAACTTCTCATTCTCTTCGTTCTCTACGGACTCATTGACTTTTAGTTTATCAGATTCACTCGATGCTACATCTAAATTTTCCAATTTCTCCGGTTTCTCGGCCAATTCGGCAGTTTTGTCGTCTTCGTTCGTGTTGTTTTGCAGTTCGTTCTCATTTAGAGATGCGTTGGCCTGTGTATCGTCGGCTTTCGACGGTGTTACCGTTTCCTCTTCATTCGCTTTCGTTGGTAGTATAGTCTCTTTATCGATGATCGTGGAAGTCTCGCTCGCTACACTGTCGCTCTTTATTGTCGTTGAATCGCTTTGTATCTGCTCTTTCTTTGTATTTTCAATGGTATCGTTGTCTACCGGTTTCTCTTCCTTCACACTTTCGAAATCACCTTGGATTTGGTCCTTATCTGGCAGTTGCGCGGGGGAAGATGGAGATGTGTTCGCTGTATGGAAAAGTATTTTACTCGAAACAATGATTACATCGTTTGAAAAATAAATAAGAAGAGCATAATAAATATGTGTTCGTTGATTTTGTTCGTGATTGAAAGAAAGTATTTTAACAGAGTTGGAAAAGAAAATAAAAATTCACTACGCAAAGATGACATTAAGATGATGTATGTGAAATGTTCCTTTAAAGTTTCATTTTAACTACCTTAATTCTATTTGATTCAATACTATCCAGTCCAAATTTGTTCTATTGTTAATTTCAACTAAAATGTAAATTTTTCTGCAAATTTATATTACTAAGAATATGAATATAAATTAAAAAATTAGAACTTTGACAAAAAATTGTTTTGCTGATTTTATATATTATTTTCGTATTATGTTTATTCTTTGTAATTTTAATAAATTTGTACGTGCAATATTGAAAAAACAATATATCTATAAACTTCGATCTATAGTCGAAATACTCCGTAAGCATAAATTTAACATTTACGGAAGTCGATTTATTTAACAATTTTTCTAACTTACAAAGAAATTTATAAATGAAAACATCATAAGTAACGTATTGAAACTCTTTGAATTCTAAAAATGATAATTCTTACAAATCTGGAATACTGAAACAAAATATTAGTTGTAAAAGTAAATTACACATGTACTTATATTGAATGATATGAAAATTAGTTTAAACAAATATTTTGAAGAAATTACATGTAATTAAAATTTGATTATATAAAACAATGTTTAATGTGCACCGACTTAATGTTTATTTTCTAAAAATATGTCTAAAATGTTTTGTATAAAATTGTAGAGAAATAATATAAAATGCTATTATCATATAATTATTAAATTGAAAATTTTTATGCAAATTCATATTCGTTAAATTAAAAAATTGAAATTTTGGTTTGCGCACTATTATGTAATATGAATATTCATATTATGCTTTGTGTAATTCGCATTCCAATTTCCTATAAATACACAGAAATCTGCAGTCTAATAACTATAATAAATGTTATTCTAAATGATCATAGCAATTTTTAAAACATTCAAGGAAACATAAATAAGATAAAAAGCAATTGAAGGAATATGAAATCAATTGTTAATGTAATAAATTTTAAAAATGCTTTTTTATAAAAGATAAAAGCTGTAATTTATTGCGTCCCTACCATGTAATGATATTCATTGTTGAAAAGTCATTTGTTGCGTACTTACCCACGTTTAATTGTTTCAATAATTGAAGAGTTTCATTCTGAAACTCTTCCAACGCATCCACCCTTTTTTTTAAGATAGTTATAGCGTCGTCGTTATTTTTAAACCAATGACCTATCGAAAATGAGGGAAATGATGGTAGGAACCACGAGTAATCAGAACGTGGAAATTCCTTTAGATCATAGTGAAATGGCTTTGTGGTGTGGTATATTTCAGTCTCAGGTGATTGTTCGTAGAAAAGTGGTGTGGCTGAAATTCAAACGAGGTAATTTGACATTTAAAACAAAAATCAAATTTTTAATTTCTTTATTACTTAAGTATCAATGATTGATTACAAATTGATTTATAATATTGCCATAAAGTGATTCTTGTAATGTAAAAACGATGTAAACGATTTTGTAATATTGGAGGATATTTTGAATAAAATCTCAAATTTAGTCAATTGTAATTTTTGATTGTAATATTAATGTTAAATATTTAATATAAAATCCCTTACATATATAAATATTTAATATTAATATTAATTTGATAAAACTTAAGATTTTATTCAAGGTATCCTCCAATGTTATAAATAAAAATGTTATAAAATATATCAGTTATATAATAATAACATATAATTATATTATATTCATATTAATATTAATATTAAAATTCAAAATCTTAGGTTTTATAAAATTTGGTATTAATGTTATTTTCATATGACATGAATTTATCTTTACATATTTAATAAATTAATTAAAAAAATTAAATCTGATCAATTATTATTAGTAAAAATTGGTAAAATGAATTTTACTTATTAATTATTTACTTATTAATATTCATATAATATATTTGAAAATTGATAAAAAAGAATGTAATTAAAAAAAGTTTGAAATCTAAAATTAATGCCATACTGGTATAATGACTTTATAATGAAATTATAATTTAGAGAATTAAAAAGAATTTATTAATATAATTACTAGTTTAACCAATTAAAATTAATAAAATTAATTTAATCAATTAAAAATCTAAGGAATTTTATATTTTTAATATGTTACAATTATTTAAAAAACGTTTTATTATTTTGTATTTATAAAAATTTAGTTTTATATTTAGTTTTCTTTTGTATTTTATATTCTCCTTAGTATCAATTAACAATAAAGTTAAATTGAGTTAACAGTTTCAAAATTAAGCAACCTAAAAACTAAATTTTTATAACTTCTAATGTTTAACAATACCAGTTAGATTCCTTTTTAAAAATTCCTCCTTGCTTTATCTTTTTAACATAAGTAGTATTAACAATCGTCTCTAATCTTTCAATGACCATAATTGAGTCAAAAGTTTAATTTATTAATTGAATTTGAATTTTTAAATCTAGTATAAGTTATGATAAATCATATTTCTCTCTTCATATTGCTTCGTGTAACTTCATTGCGTGATTTTCAATAGTGTATTATTGTTTCAGAAACGTATGAGTCATCGAATATCTATGAATTGTTGAATGATTGAGCATATCGTGGTTTACAATCGTAAAAATATATACGATAAATCATAAGATAATCGATTTCACGTCTAAATTAAATGATGAAAATGTATTTCTTGGTTTTAACCGAGTATGTAAATGATTCATGTTGCCTGATTGCGCGGTAAGCATTCTTAGAATGCTTGAAAACGTCACGATTTAAAATTATTAAATTGCTTTCCAGCATTTGTGATATCACACTGTACATCAATTATTACAAAAATTATTAAAGTTACTAAATTCTAAAGACAAATACAAAATTTGTATTAATATTGTACGAGAATATAATATAATATAATTGCTTAAATTATTATATTTATTACTATCATCATTGGCATTTTTTTTTAATTTGAACATTATTGCTAAACAATTTAACTTTCACTTTCTTCATCGAATCTCAACAGAGAGAGAGTGAAGTCAAAAATTGAAGATAAAACTGAAAATTTTTAATTTGCATGTTTTTATAAAATAATTGTCCGAATAACAGAATTGATATTAATGCAAAAGAAGATAACTAAAATTATTCATTACAGTATATTATTTTTATTTTTCTTTCGAATGTTTATTTTTATCTCTAAAATGAAGTGCTACGGATTATTATTTTTCTTTTTCTTTTCTCTAAATCGAAGCTTCTTAAGAATTAAATTTATATTAAATTAAATCTAATTTATACTAAATTGATGAGAAAATCGTCGAAGACGAAGGAAGAAAAGAAAATGTTGCACATCATAAACTTCTATTTTAAATTATTATTAATAAATATTAATAATTACTAACTACTTAAAAGGCTAACATTTTTATATTTTTAATATAATTTTAAGAGAATTTAAAGAGAACTGTGTTTCTGAATTTTAGAAAACTGTGTCAAAAAGAAGTATTATTTTATTGAATTTTATATTATTATTTACGTAGGTATAATATAATATGTATATCTATTATATAATATATATAATTGAGTAATATATATAAGTTATATATATATATATAACTTTATTATATCACTATCAAATGTTTATAAAAATATACGAAACAAAGATTTATTTTTATACATATAGATGAAAAAAAATTATTATGTATGTAAAATCCAACTATGTAATATCACATTTACACAACGCAATAAACATAACATTACGTAAGTGGATTTTAAGGGATTAATAAATAATTATTGGTTGATATTAGTAAAATTAAAGTTAAATATTAATAACTTTTACCATCGACATGTTGCAAGGCTAGTACTGTCAGTATCAAGGAAAGTAACTTTAACATGATTATTCGTCACTAGCTCTATAATGTTACCCCATTCACGAAAGTCAAGTCTTTCACTGAAGAATTTTGTTTTTCAACGTTTCATTTATATAGCTTCGAACCATCATAAACTCAATAGCCAAACTATTAAGGATTGAGTAAACGATAATTTTTCGTAGATCTTATCGACAAAACTGTTAGACTGTTCTTTAGGGATAAATTGTATTGTAAAAATTTCCGGACGACTCACTGATAAACTTTCATGTTAGGAATGCGATATCATTTCTCAGAGATCAAAGGTAAGTGTCATTTTACCTGAAGACTTTTGTTTTTTTACCTTAAAAGCATTTATTAATATAATAAGTTGTAAATTTAGTTGACACTTTAAAATATTATATGAGTTTATAGTCAGTCCAAATTTAGAAAAAATGAGTTTATTATAGAAATAATAAACACTAAGAATATTTACCGATTTAATTTACCAAATATATTTCATATATTTCATGTCATGTTAATAAAGACATAAAAATCAATTTTTAGATCGTAAATAAATACTGGCACTTTTATTTCTTATGTTATTCCTATTTTACTATTGAAGAAAAATATAAATTATATCTTTTACGTTATCATAATTATTGCTTTTCCTTTTGTCAGAATAAAGCTATAATACATTCTTTTTAATCTGTCGTGAAACGAAATGAAAATCTAATTTTCACAACATTAAGAAAAATTAATCAATTCACTTGTCAATAAAGAAGTTCATATATATTTTAAATTATTGAAAAATTAGAAATATATATATATATATATATATATATATATATATATGTGATATAATATAATATAAATATAAATATAAGTTATTCCTATATATAATATAATATAAGTATAATGTAATATAAATATAAATATAAGTTATTCTAACTTATTATAAATATAAATATAAATATAAGTTATTCTAACGTAATATAAATATAAAATAAGTTATTTTATCAGCATTACAGCTTTTATTTAAAATGCTATTAATTTTTCTCTTAAATGTTTTCATTTAAAATTTGTTAATTTTATTTTTATTATTGTTGTTATATTATTAATATATTATTATTAAATTTCTTGGTTTTTTTTTAGATACTAAAATAGGTTTTAGATACTAAAATTTTTTAGATAATAAAATTGGTGAAAAGAAATCGCATTCGAGAGTTTATCAAGAACGTTCAGTTGATTAAATATTATTTCGTATTGTAGATACATGTGTCTTTGACATACATTAATTGAATACATAATTTAGATTATAATTTGGTGACAATCGTGATCGTGATAATGCAGTAAGTCGTATTCGAGAATTTTTGACTAAAAGTAATACTATGATAATGAAAACGTTGACATAAGTGCCTTGTAATGGAGAATACTTTTATGAACACAATATAAGTATTGGTCAATAAAAATATATATTTTCAAATGACAAAACTATGATCTTTCGTATTAATACTTAAAAGATATTTCTAAAGAGAAGACTTTAGTTCTATGAAATCTATAGACTTTTGTCTCTGTGAAATGAAAGAAAACCATTTATTTATATTTGCAGAACGTAGTCTTGACGAAAGTCTAAAACGAAAATCAAAAGTATTTATGTGTCTGAAGATTATGTTGGAGATTTCATTTCTGAGAAAATCGAATTTGAAAATTTGCTTTATGTATAAAAGATAGTCCAAGAAGTGATAATAATCACAGATTGTATTATAGAAATGCAAATTAATTAGTGTAACTAATTACTTTGAATGACGAGTTGAAACATGCATTGATGACAAGCTACGTATGTACATAATCATGAGAGCTAATGTAAATAGTTTGAAGCTTATATATACATATAATAAATAAATTTCAAGAAGAAATATTCATTAAGCTGTGTTTAAATTTAAGTGTATTGTCTATTCTTATACAAACGAATTGAATAAGAATTGATATTATATTATTTTGATTAAACCATTTGATTTGTATTATATTATTTTTGATTAAACTATAAATCTGTAAAGTTCCATTAAAATCGACGTATCAGTGAAGTAATTATTTTAAAACAGTAAAATAATAATTTTTGTAAACTCGTCACTTTAAAGTTTCAAATTATGGTTAAAACTTATATTATTAGAGAACAATTATATAACAAGATCTATAACTAAAATATTGAATGCATATATACAGTAATCTTTTAATTTTTTACTTACGAGTATAAATTATAATAATAAGAGTATAAATTGTAAACTTTATTTATGAGCGTAATTTTTTATTTATGAATTTCTTGCCTCCGATAGCAAAAGTAATTAAATTTTCTAATAAAAGCAGCTAAAAATAAGAATGGATATTTACACATATTCTAGCTTGGGTTCATCTAGAAGTCAATAGCTAAATTAATTAATGTCTGTACATGTCACGGTCATATGCATCAAGTGGTCAACTCTCGAGGAGTAATTTAAACGTATGTTTAAGTCGACAGAAAATAAGTAATATGGAAGATGTTTCAATCTCACTAGTACTCCAATTATAATAAATATAAGTTTAAATAGTAATATAAAAGTACATCTGTACTTAATTCATAATTTTATAAAATGGAATTAGATTTAACAAGAATAAATAATTGTTATTAATGCTGATCAAAAAAATAGTCTAGTATAAAAATTTCTAATTCTCATACATACATACATACATACATACATACATACATACATATATATATATATATGCGTTACAGGACTTCTTTTGTCTATGTCTTCTCATGTAAATAATAATATTATATTATTTGTATAAATGTTTTTTATTTATTATTTTATTTAACTTGTTTATATTTATATTTTTTTGAAATGAAAATAATTTAGAATTGAGAATATGAATTATTATAAATAAAAGGATCATATAAATAATAAAATAATAAAAGGAAGTGAGTCAATCATGTTTTTGTATGTTCATTAAATCGTTGACATTTTAAGAATTAAATATTATTCGATATGAAAATAGTATTGAAACTTCAATTAAACTTCAAAAAGGAATTCCATTATAAATTAGAGACTCTACGAACATAAACAGATCATATTAGCAAATGAATAGTCACATACTCACAAATGAAATTTTCAACAGCTTTTTTTAATGAAATCTTAAAATATACCTCCAATCATAAGTCACCAAATACTTAATAAAATTAGGGTATAATTGATATTCAATTAGAAATGATCTATGTCAATCATAAACTAAAATTAGTATGTATTAATTATTTATAATGTAGAAGAATAAAGAAGGAAGCATGCAAGTAATTTAAGTCATGTGATATAAGCTGCTTACAAAAAACATGTATAATTAATTATATTTAATCCTTTTTATATTTCTGATTGATTTTTTTCATTATTATAATTATTCTTATAACATTGTATTATAATAATATACAATAATAATTATATTTTGAATATCAGGTAAATTGAATGTCGCGATTTCTTGAATTTTTACTTTAATAAGCCCAATATTCAAAATCCAATAACATAGTGAAAGAAAATCGTAAAGTACATCAAGTTTTAGATCATTGTAAATAGGAGGTTTCAATCTTCAAATCCGTTGTAAATTCAAACGTGAAAACAAATTGTTCAACGTTTTTATATGACGAATTATTGCATTTTTGAGAAGAAAAGTGTCTTCACTTTTTCATCTGCCACGTGATGTAAAAGCATCTTATTGTTAGAATAAAATGAAAATAGAGACTCCAAGCTCTAAAACGAAGCTAGATTTTGTTTGTATGATTGATATACGAAATTGTCATAGTTTCAATAGGTGTGATAGGTGTGCTCATCTGAACATTAACGTAGCGTAACGTAACAATGTGTATAATGTAACAATAAATTATACAGATGGACGTTGCTCATTATTCACTAATCAGGGGCTAGAAGCAAGTTACACGTGCCTTGACATTGAACTCCGCAGGTAGATGTGTACTTTGCCTTCGAGCACAATAGATACCTCTCTAAAAGGGAACGAGCCTGCTGTCCAAAGCGTCTCTGGATTAATGCGCAGAAGGTAATCAACTTTCGCGACTGGGATTCCCCGGCAGCGTCACTCAATCGTACGGAGTCAAGAAATTTATCTAGCAACAAAATGATAAAGAATTTACGTAAACGTAATTCTATTTATATTATTATTATGAATTTATGTAAACGTCTATTCTATTTGTTATTACCAGGAAACAAATAGTATGAATTTCTTTAATTACAATTAGACCGTGGATTTTATGCAAATTCATAGTTTTGAAAATATTATTAAAAATATAGAAACTCGGTAGGAAATTAGTTTTCAAATATTATAGAAAGGATTATCTTATACTTCGGGTATTTTATGCATTAATTTTACATATTGTTTACATTGTATAAAACTGTTTTGAACTGTGACTATAATATTATGTATAAATATATGATATTCTCTCTCTTTCTCTCTCTCTCTCTCTCTCTCTCTCTCTATATATATATATATATATATATATATATATATATATATATAGATGATGTGTGATATATATAAAGATATATATATATAACGCTATAAAACTATTTTGAACTATGACAATACTATAATATTATGTATAAGTATATAATCCTCTCTCTCTCTCTCTATATATATATATATATATATATATATATATGTATTGTCATAGTTTAAAATAGTTATATATATTATAATACTTAAAAAATATATATACATATATATATATATATATATATAATGCATAATATATAATATTACATTACACCCGTATTATTTAACAATACAATAATATAATATATATAAGAGAATTAATATATAACAATATAATTTCATAAATATTTAACGAGAGTGCTCAGTTGTATATAAGTAATGATACATAGAAAATTTATGAGTTCTTTTAAAAATATATAACAAATATCTTATTTATAATAAGTATCTATAGTTATTAATTATAATGATGTATCCGTGTACATTTCATCAAATTATTAAGGACATAATTTTGTTTAGCAGTCGAATGTGAATATAATTCTACTTTATATTTTATAAATTCTGAATGATATATTTCATGTATAGGTATAAGTTTTTTAAAAATAATTATAACAAAAAATTTTAATTATTTTATTTAAAATTTTTATTTAATTCTGTGAACTAAGAATAGATATAACTTCTGCAATTAATTCAAATCAATGAATTAAAGAAAATAATTATTTAGTTTAGGATGTTTTCTATTTTATTTAATCTCTTAATTAAACATGGAAGTTATTTCTGATTTTAATTCGAAATATTTTCCGTGTACAATTAAATACAAATTTTAAATAAAACAATTTCAATTTGTATAATAAAATATATAGATAATTTCATTATATCATATCATACATAATATATCAACATACATTATATATTATTTTTCATCATATGAAAATGCAAATTGAAGCTTTAATTTTTTTGTAACTTAAACTTGATTTAACTTCGTTAATTTAATTTCAGTTAAATCTTACCAATTTAAGTTTTAATTTAGTATTTATTAAACAAACGTAATCACTTATTTTAAAATACATATTTGTTTTGTTTAAACTCTTAATTTAAATTAATACAGAGGTTAATTTCTGTTTTCAATTCCATAGAATTTTCTGTACGAGGAAAGTGAAAGAATTTTTTATCAGTATCACACACATGTGTCACAAAACTGTGTTGATTTAAATTGTCGCACTTGGAACAGTGCGCGTGTGCATCTGAACAAATATTCAAACATTTGTATTATTGATTGACTGTTACACGTGGTTATATTTTCTCGAAGTATTTTCACTCTTTCTCGAACAGTTTTCAAATGATATCACATTTCGTTCGGAATACTTTTGTCGGTTATCAGGTCTGATCGAATACCTTTTTTTTTTTTTTTTATAGTGATTCAGATAATTCCTTATGAATCATGGAATCTTACTAGTAATTAAGCGTGCACAGTGATATTTCTTTATTCCTGTAAATGGACCGTCGCTAACAATTGATTCTACGAAAGTTGAACAGAAGGTATCAATTTATTGCTTGCTGCTCAATAATCAGTAAACCATCAAGGTTATCGATTCCATTTAATTTTTAATTGATTTCGCAAGTAGCTTTGTTCATTCACGATAGTAGTATCTACATGTAATTTCGATTATCCTTGGTCGATCGTTAGATCACGCATAATAGGATACGTATGAAACGATTACGGCAATTATAATGAACATCGTAAGCAGTTTTTCATGGTTGAAAATAAATTCAAAGCTAATTAATAATACGAATTTTAACGAGTTTTGAGTTAATTATTTTTTCCTGCTTTATCACTATGCTGCATTGCGAATTAAAATTTTCTGAATTTTGAACTTACTTTAATATGTGATAAAGTATGAAGTCGTGACGTTTCTATATTGAAAAATAAATTTTTTTCTGAGAACTGCTAATGACACTTTTCTTGATAATTCTTCAGCTTAATTAAATTTTTCAATTTAAATTGTCAGTTTAAGTTGTCAGTTTAGACAATAATTAATAAATCTATACAACAATGTATTTTTCTGGTGTTCCATAATTATAAACTACGAATATTTATGTTCTTTGGTCGATATCTTGCGAAGACAACTGAAAAAACAGAACATAGAAAATTATTTTACTTACAACGAATCCAATCAAAAATATTCGGATACTGATGCACATTTCACTTTGACATTCTATTTTCTTAATTTCCTGTTTCTATTGATATATCATTTATGTTATATATATTAAAATATACATAAAGTTTTTTTAGTTAATTTTAGTACAATTATACAATATTATAATAATTAAATGGTATCATTTAATTTTCGCATGATAAAAATATTATATCTATGAATTCAAATGCTATGAAGAATATTATGACGATTAAGAATATAAAATTTCTTAAGAAATTGAAAATGTTTCTATTGTTATATCATAAATAAAGCATACCTGTTAACATATCATATAAAAACTTAAAAACAAATAATAATAAACTTAAAAACAAATAAAAAGTTATCTAAAACAAAATATATTATATTATATAAATTATATAAATTACTGCTCAAGTTTTCAATCTGCTACTACGAAAAATAATTGAAACTGTTATTCAGATTTTCCATTCCTTAACAGGAAGTCATCAGCAAGGAAGAATAAAATCATGCAAAGATGAGAAACTACATTTTACGTAGTTACAAATACACTGTTATTTTTAGTTTACGATTTAATATGCAATAGAATGTAAGAACAATTATGATCCGATGTGTTGATTATTATTTATACAAACAGTAAATCAACAATTTTTGTTGAAAATGAATCGAAGCTAATTCATAATCAAAATCACACGAGGAAGAGAAGCTATGCCTTAGAAATATACTGTTATCTTTAGTTTCCAATTTAGTGTACAACAGGATGTAAGAACAATTATGAGCAATTACGTGTTGATTATTATATATGCAGACAAGAAATCGCAGTTTTTTTTATTATTGAAAATGAATTGAAAGTTAATTCATAATTTAAATCACGTTAATTGATATCACCTATTTGATTTATAGATCTACAAATTGATTCTTTGAATAATGCATCTTTCAGATATATATTCATTCATTTGGTTGTTAATATCTTATGCATAAAGATTAATTAATTCTAAAATATAGATAATTGTACAATAAATGACAAGTGAACACGAGTGAACAAAATGTACATAAAAATTTTTTAGAAATTTTCATTAGATATTTAATTAATTCAAATAGTATTTAATTATTTACCAAGGAAAACTAATTACAGATTAGTTAGTTGCAGATAAAATATGATTAAATGATTAAAATAATAATAATATGATTAAAATATTTTTAATTATAAAAATAATTACCTTGTTTTATTAAAAATTATTTCATTCTTTTATTTATTTATTAAAAAATCTTGTTTTGTTAAAAATTTTATCTTGTTTTATCTAGGCATTTCTTTCAAAAGAATTAATTAATGTATATAATACTTAAGATTTGAACATGCTTGTTTTATTTATGAATAGATTTTTAACAACGAAATTATTAATTCCTTGAATTTTAAATTTCTTAATGGATTAAGTGATATTTTATAATTAATAAAAGCTAGTTATTAATTACTAATATTAATTATTAATAAAACAGTTTAAAATAAAAATGGAGTTAAAATAAATAGAAGTATCATTTACTTGAATTAATATTATTATTAATTAATAGTATTTTTATAAATTAATTAATAAATTAACAGTGTATTAATTAATAGTATTAAGTAATAGTACAATTAAATAATAGTATTTTAGAGAAGAATTTAATTAAATATAATAATGAATTGAATTTTTTAAAATAAATTTCAATGTTTTTAGAATTGTCCTAAATTTTATTATTTTTACAATCCTTAGATCCTTATCTTTTCTACTAGCTATCTGATTTAAGAAGAATATAGAAAACTGTTTTCAGTTTTCATGAATCAATATTTACTTTAATTTAAAGAAAAATTAAAACGAACGTGGTATTTTTGATGAAATATTATCTTTGACAAGAGAAGAAAGACAGCAGAATTTTTAGATCGCAGATGTTTATATAATTTCATATTTTCAGAAATATAACTAACACTGAAATTATCAAAGTGGTCAAAATGAACAATTCGTAGATTTAAAAATGGCGACTTTTTAGATATTTGAACAGTTTCGTGAAGCGTATAAATAAAATCTTGTGTTTCTTTATTGCACTTTTTACTATTCCTTATGCTTTAATTTCTCTGTTAGAAATTTTATTTTAATCATTGGAAGTAATGTTAAACAAGTAGAGGCTAAATAAAAATTTTCTTCATCTCTTTCATTTCCAAATACTACAATAAATAATTATTTTATACACATATGCTTTTGTTTTAAATTAAATGCGTTGTGCCTGCTTTTGTGCTTTTTAGTTTTCAATAAATGTTTGAACATCACCGACTTAATTTGCAAATTAATAATATGCATTCATGAGAAATTTGAAAATGCGCACAATGGAAATCACGTGCAAAAATATATAAAATATCCGAAATAATTTCTATTTGGGTGCTGTTTCTAAAAATATAAATACATCGTCACTTTTAAAATGCACAAACACGTACAATACTACTTACGATATTTCGAATATAATTCCGAATGAAAAAGGTGTGAAATTGAAAGTTTCTCGCCATTTCACGAACAAACTGCACCGTTTGGCAATTGAGCAACGCGTGTACTATGAATTTTCCGTGATTTCAGTCGTGCAATTTTTCGCACACCGCGGAGGCATCGGAAACGAGCCGTGGTAAGGAAGAGATGCGAGCGAATCCTATATAAGATGACGGGGGACACCGATTCACTCAGTCATTCCATCGTAAACTGCGACGGCGTCTGGATCGATCGAATTTGTACGTTTGCTAGTGTGAAACGAAGTATATTCAATCATTTCTTGTTTTTTTCTTCGACGACTCGTTGGTTCCGGGTAATAAAAATGGATATTAGGATCTTGACATTGCTGTTGTTTATCAGCGTTACGGGATCCTTTGCGGACTTGCGGTCCCCTCTCTTCCGATTGCGCAGAAGTGAGTAGTCATTGAGTAAACACACGCACGTACCTGACTTGTACAGATATAAATAAATTCTTCCTTACTAATACACGAGCCCGTTATTGCTATAATGAATGTTGCATGTTCTTTGTACGTACGTCGCTAAGCGCACTCGTCCACACCTAATAATTTTGACAATTATAAAGCAAATTGTTGTACGACGAAGTAGTTGAGGTGGTTTAAATATAATCGTGACACGCTTGAACGCGACATTTTCTCCTCGCTATTATTTATGAATGAGCCTGTGGGTTTTTGTGTATTTTATGTATACGGCGAAACAAAATACCTAACGAGGTATATTTATTATTTAGATTTTAGATACTTGGAATGTAGAAAGAAATTTGTTTTATCTACTGAATATTTAATATCTATATTAATTAATTGAAATAGCTAAATATTTATTAGAATGTTATATCATTGTAATTTTTTGTTTAAATGTATAATATATATTGAATATCTGTTATAATATACTTTCAGTTTATTTAGTCAGCAATTTAAGTTGTTAGCGGTTGAGAGCAAATATACAATATTACAATGTTATAATGGACAATAATATATAACAATATATTATATACTTACATAGTATAGTGTATGTATATTACATGTATTATATATAGTACATGTATATATAATATGCAGTAGGTATACATAATATTGTAATGTTTTGTTTAAATTAATTTAAATTTATAACATAAATATTAGATAATATTAAACATTTAATAGATGAAACAAATTTCTTTTTAGCTACCATTTCATTACTTACGTTCATAAAAATTCGGAAATGTATAAAAATCCACAGTTTGTTCATGAATAAACAGGATTCATTAGAAACACTCTTAGGTCGTATTCGAGCCATCATCTTAATTAAGTAGAATTGATGTTATTTCTAAGAAAAACATTTTTTTTCACACGTCAAAAATTTTATCTAACTGCAAGTTATATAATGTTCAAATTGGCGTTGCGCTAAATCACAGGAAACTTACGAAATATCGTGTAATCGTGAAATATTAATAATAATTTTCGGATAATAATCCGCGTTGATGATGGAAACGTTTTTATATATTTGACAAGTATAAAGAACCGTACGCATTAAAATGTCGACGTTAGTTTGTCTGAGCTGACAATGAAAAACAGGTCTGAGCTGTTCTTTATGGCGTAAACGTCCTTCCGTAAAAAAAACTGAATTCTGACTCTTGGAACTGGGCATAAAGGAAACCGATGATGCAGTTCGATTATAAATAAAAGTATTTCATACACCATTTCGTTCATTGATAATATTAGGACAAATCATTTTGAGACAAATGTTCAAAAGGTCATTATTCTTTTCACTCTTTTAGATATAGTATAAAAGTTCTCTTTAATGGATACATTATTGTAACATTAATCATAATTAATGCAATGTACACAACTAAGAAAGTGAAATTTAAATAAAAATTTGGTTTATATATATATATATATATATATATATATATATAATTTAGAAGCTAACCGATTTAAATTGACAATTATTGTGTTGAAAATATTTAATTATTACGATAGTAATTAACAGAAGTCAACAGAAGAATATACATACATGACATAAATCATTTTTAGTCAGAAGTAATGTATAACGATTAGCTTCTGCACATTCAATATATTAATATATTAATTGTCAATGTAATATTATATTAATTATTATTATATATATTAATAATATTTATTATATGAAGTTTTGTATTAATATAATACTAAATACTATTTTATACTATATTTTAATAGTATTTTATAATTATTATAAAAATAAAAATATATTTTATTAGTATATTAATAGTATATTATATTATATAGTATATTAGTATATAGTATAGTATATAGTATAATAGTATATTATATTATAATATATTATAAAAATAAAAATATATTTTAGTAGTATTTCATAGTAACGAATGATGGTAAATATTAATATCAATCTACTTTAGATATATTTTACATATATTCACATTAGATTGCATTTTGTAGACGTTCACGCCTTCAAATTTCCCTAGTTGTCACAAAGTAAAAACACACATCAGCGGAAAACGAAGTTTCTCTTAAAATAAGAATTTTGTCAAAATTGAATTAATATGATAAATTCAACTAATTGATTAAATTAATCAATTATAAAATATCGCAATACGCAATATTTCACATAACCAAATTTATATTTCAGTCAATTTACAATTAAATATAATATCAACTTGATTTATTAAAAGCAACGTCATTTAAATATCTAAATTAATTTGTTGAAAGTATATATCACATTGCTCGCAGTTGTAACATTTCAAAAATTTATTTAAACTTGCGCCACAATGTCGAGCGTGTTTTCAATAAACGATCGCCGCATAATCTGCACAAAAATACAAGGAAAGAAGCGTCGTGTCGGTTTATCTACGTCGGTTGCTTAATCAGCGCGAAATATCGACAGAATGTTCGTTGGTACATGCATGTACCAAGAAATATTGCTAGCGGAAGATTTTACAACCGCGATAATATCGATAATCGATATTCCCACGTACGTAACGTTAACTATCAATTGCACGATGCATCCTCCTCCTTCTGCATGTAAACAACATTGTGTGTCGTCGCGCGAAGATAATAATTGGCCGTGAAGCCCGTGAACCATGACATCGTTCCGTCTCCTACCTTGATCTCAACTACAGTACTTTCTTCCCGTTTTCTTTGATTCTATTTTTGCGCCGCAACGATCTTACGATCGACTCAGATTTTCTTCTTTTGATAATTAACACAATTATACCGGGTGTTATAATATACTATAATAGTGGTATAACAGTGGGCAAGTGGTGATTCATCGTGGAAAAGTGAGTCGAAAATGCAGAACAAAATTGTTTTGTTAGACGCTTTGTCTTTGAGACATTGTTTTTGAACATTTATCAAGTATATTTGAATTTAGCTAATTTCAGACGTGGCACGGAGTTATTCTACTTTCTAATAATAATAAACTAAAAAATGTGGAATAAAATTTTTAGTTTAAAAATTTTAGTTTAAAAACGAGACGCTGTCTCACTGCTGAGGAAATGTTTGTTTTCGTGACACGGAATTATTCTACTTTCTAATAATAATAAACTAAAAAATGTAGAATAAAATTTTTATAAGTTAAAAATTTTAGTTTAAAAACGAGACGCTGTCTCACTGCTGAGAAAATGTTTTTTACGTTTTGTACCAAGGGAACTGTTAACAAAACATTCTGTGTCTATTTTCTTAGAATTAACGAATTTTATTTTACATTTTTTATCTATTTTTTGCATGTGCATTCATACATATTTACATTACATGTGTGCACATGTAAAAAAGAATTTTTTAAAGTGGAATATATCGTTTCAATCAGTCTTTTACATTGAGATACTCACATAAGTCTGTAATGACAAGAGAATTATATACTACTTACTATGTGTGTAAGAAAAAATTTATTTATTACATTCTGAGAGTTGTCTATGTCAGTAGACGTATAGAAATTTATATTGGGCGTACTACTGTCTAAATAGTCTCTAAAGGGTTAAGGAAATTACATACACCTTTTTTTTCCTTGTAACTTTATGAACGAGTTCCGTTAAAATTGGAAAGTTCCTTGGAAAGATACGACCTTGAGGAATGCGTTATAAAGATTTTAAGAAGAATAAAATGTCAATGATTTCAGTTGACAAAGTTTTGAAGTTTCCTTTGGTTTTTGAATTGGTTTTTAAATTGTTTCTATTGAGAAAAATATTTTTCTTTTCATAAAATTAGTTTTACGTGAGTGTTATCGCGTTAATCTTAAGAATTTCGTTTTTATTAAAGATTAATGAAACTATAGTAAAATTATATAACAAAATTTTTCATTGTAAACATTTTTATGATATGCAGAGTGCATTATATATTTGATGTGATAGAATTCTGAATATAGAAATTCTTTATTATAATAATATAATAACAATTGTATTTATAAAATTTATATCTATATTTATTATCAATTATATTTTGGCTGAAAAATTTTGACAGCCACTTTATGGTACGAAGAAAGTAGATTGGTTACATTGACCTTTATAAAATAATTCAACATCATTGAAATTGATAAGAATATTCGAGAATATTGAGAATATTAATATGAGAAAATTTTGCTAATTATTACCAAATTAAATAATTTTATATTAATTAAATAAATGTAAATAATTTTTCTTTAATGAAACTGATAGACGTTATCGTACATCTTTATAAAGAATCTTGAATTTTAAATTATTCATATTATGGTACATTCACTCAACAAAATATCTTCCCGACTGATAGTGAAGACTAGAGAAAATTCCAAGTATAATTCGTACTGAAATTACCAATAATAAATTATTCATATCAATGCATAGATAGCGTTTTTTCACCCTCGTTGTTTATTTCAAATAAACTTTTTCGTTTCCATTCTATAATCTACGGCGCGCATTCATTTCACGTGTCGATTCGAGAAATCCTTCCTTATGTGAAACAACTGTTATTTGCACGAATGTATTTTACCAAGATAGTACTGTTCAAATAATCTCTCTGCATGTTTTGTGTTCTATGTGCAATTCCATGTTCCTGTCTTATCGTAAAAATAAATTGAACGATCGAAGTCCTTCAAAGATAAAAAGAATAAATATTGGCAGTTAACAATGTAACGTGTTATGCAACGAAATCTGTCCCTTGTGTGCATGAAAAGGGTGAAGGAATTCCCTGAAATTAAAAACGTCCGAAACCTACCGCAAAAGCATGCTGACAGTAATAGTGAATAATAGTGAAACATGTGAAACGAGTATTGACCACAAAATAGAGTGTTTGTGTAGAAACAATTGAAAAAAACGAAAACAATGGTATTTTCTTTGTTTTTATCGACAAAAAGATGGATTGCAAGATGATAGACCACGTGTCGTGGATTTCGCTGGGCTGTCGAGGATGAAACGAGAATCCAGCAGTTCTGCCAGAAGCACCACTGTACCCACGTCTACTTTAAATCCCGCTGTAACTCAGTCCAAAACAAATTCTCAAAGTAGTTCCACGAAAGAGCCAAATCCCACGACGCCTAGTTCAGAGTCTCCAAAATCTACAACGCCTGATTCAGATCCTTCAACACCTGATTCAGTTCCTACAACGACTGACCCAGATTCTACAAATTCCACGCCTGATACAAGTTCAAACACTGGCAAGACACCCAAACCGAAAGCAACGATCACACCTGCTAAGCCAACCACTCAAAAGAATCGAAGATCAACGCCCGATGAAAAATCCGCAACTGCCAGTTTGACTGCCACGACTACCGAATCCAGCACGCCTGATTCAGAAACCACAGCCTCTAGTCCAACTACCGAACCCAGCACGCCCGATTCAGAAACCACAGCCTCTAGTCCAACTACCGAACCCAGCACGCCCGATTCAGAAACGACAGCCTCTAGCCCAACCACGACACCTAATTCAAAAGCACCAACAACCACACCAACGCCTGATTCGAAAGCTCCAACTACCAAACCAACGACCATTCCGAGTCCTAAAGATCGCAGCATGAAACCCACGTCCTCTAGTCCAACCGACAAGTCCACGACGCTGAAACCAAAACCCGAAACAACGAAAAAACCGACCGATTCGGAGAAATCGACGACGGCTACGCCTTTGTTAGCCTCGCGATTTAACGACGACGAATCGAAAGAGCCTAATAAGATCCCTGAATCGAAACAACCTAACCCAAGCCAAGGGCCGAATACAGGAAATTTCATGAATCCTGGATTCCCAAATTTCCAATTCACTCCGTTCTTCATGCCTCCATTTGTTCCCGACTTCTCGTCACCGTACAGTCCTAGCAATCCTTATTTCGCACCGAATGCTGGTAGCAATGCATGGAGCGTGCCCAACGGTGGAGCTGGAGCTGCGACGTCTTTCGCTTCTGCTAGCGCTGGAGCTTCTGCTGGTGGCAGCACAAATTATAATGCACAGCCATTAGGTTATCAAGGTGGATACCCCGACAACTTGAACACTGTCAACGCACCCATGGCTGTCGAGCCGACTATGGGCAACGCGCCGAACATGTTTAACGCAGGGGGATATGGCTATGGAGGAGGTAATACAATTAACGAAACGGGCGAACTCGAGTTGAAGAATATCATCGTGAAGATTTGTCGGTTGGAGGGGTGCACTGTGTTAATTTGCAGTTGAAAAGAGTCTTTTGCAATTGGCAGGAATTCGTAGTAAATGGCGAAAGTGAATAGTTTGGAGAAAGTGAATGAAATGAAATAATTATTGAAATTGAGTAATTATAATTATCGCGTTGAAAGTCATTGTGCGTAGTATCGAGTCATTTTGTGACACTGAGTTAGTTATAGGATTGATACATTTAGATATTATATTAATTGATTTATAGTGATTGAAAAATGTCTAAGGAAAGGTATATGCAATATTTTTAGAAATGGTGTAGGGAACAAATAAGCCAGCAAAAATAATTTGAATGTATATTAATTTTATTAATTTTGTATGCCAATAATATACTGTAAATTATATTGTAATATATAAAATTAACATTAATATGTTAATATTAATTTTATATATAACTTTTGACAACTTATAACAAAGTTATTCAAATTATGAATCATATATGTTACATCATGCACTAAGAGTTACTAAATAAAGTCTGAATGAATTTTTAAATACGATAATAAAAAGAATAGATCAATTAGCTGTCATTATAAATGTTCTCAATTTATTATATTAAAATTGTTTTCGCTGTCTTACACCATTTTTAAAAATATTATCTTTAAAAATTTACTTTGAGCCAATGAATATAATCAGCAGAAAATGTATAAAATGTATCGGTTGCTATTTGAAAGTTAATTAATTAGACAGAACAATTTAACATTTTTTATTTTTATTTTTATTTTGGTTTTGTTAGATATACTTATAATTAAAAGTTTAGAGCATGTTGCAATCTTAAAAGAAATGACGATATAAATATTTCATTCATTAAAATTATTAAGTACTGAAGAAATTTTAATTAATTATGTTTAAAAATTAAAGTTATACACTATTCTTATTTCTCAGAAGAAGTAAAGAATGCTCCAAACTCTTAAGCGAAAGTATATATTGTAATTTTATATCCTTCTTTATTTTAAAATTTCTATTGTCTGCTGCATTTTTGAATATTAATATATTTGAAATATTTATTATAGCAATTCAGTAGGGAAAGTATTTAACACAATATCATTACATTCTTCGTATATCTGAATGTCTATACACACAATATAGTATAACATGTAACGCTATCTGAACATTCAACAAAAACAATCAATTTGATTTTTCTTTTTGTTCATATTGTTTAATATTCATTGTTTTATTATTTACAGGCGTACCATTTGACGGTGGATTTGCATTCCCTGATATCCAAAGGCAAATCGAGGAAAATATCAGACAATTGCAAACTTCGATCCAAAAACAACAACAATGGTAAGTTTAACAAAGATGAGATTTTAACTACTAAATGTAAATTGTTAACGTTTTATATCATTACTTTTAAATCTGTGGTTTAAAAGTACGAATCGTGCCCTTGGAGTTGATTCTACTACGACATTCAAAATTTTATATTTCAGTCATACGTTCTATGCAACTAAAAAGAATTTAGAATGTTTTAAAACAATATTCAACCCTTGGTATAGTTGAACTTTGAGAGCTGTAATATTTATGTTTCAAATTATTTAATTTTTGCTTAATTTAATCTTTTTGTTTTCCTTTTTGCAAGTTTCTTTGCAAGTTATTTTTTGCAAATTTTACTATTAGTCTTTACTATCAGTGAAAATATACAATTATTATAGTCACTGCAACTCACTTGAGGATTAACATAAAATTTAACTAGAAGAAATTTTACTTATTATATAACTTATTATATGTTATTATATAAATCATACTATTATAACAAGAATTGTATAACAAGAAATATATTGTTATATTGTCAAAATAATGACTAAATTTTATATAATACATATATATAATGTCATGAAAGTAACTAATACATGAAACTTGTATATAGGTTGTCTGATCGTATAGCCGATGGAGGCAACAATATCCCTGGTGCACATAGCGCTGTATCTAGCATTCAGTTGGGACCAGGAGGTGGTTATCAAGCTGGTGCAATTAATCCGGTAAGTTATAAAATTTTATACATAAATACGTAAGCATATATATTCATTGCTCGATTTATTTCTTCTATATATATTCATCATTGTTCATAAATGTTAAAATACTTGTAGAAAATGAGACAAGCGAAATAAACAAATATCATTAAAGAATTATTAATATCTTTAGATAATAAATTATTATTTCGTTTAAACTTGTTGATCTATTTATGTGCTTAATATATTGTTTGACGTGTGTAAATACAAAAATTTATATACTATATATATATATATATATATATATATATATATATACGTCGATTATAATTGAACTGCGGAAATTATATATTTGGGAATATAATTAAAAACATTTGATCCAGATAGAAAGTTATTTTACATCCAAATATCATAAAAGGCATTACTCTTTGATTACTTTATATATTATTTTCATATTATATTTACATCTTTAGATTTCTCAAAAATGCATGAAAATCTAAAAAAAAAAATACAGTCTAATTATAATTGTATACTACGCTAGAAAGAATCACTAAATTATATAAAAACAAATCATTACATTATTTAAAAAATTATGTAAAATATTTGTGAAGAAAAATACTTCAATATATGAACCATACTGTTTGAATCAAAGTAATTAAGAAATTTCTGCCGACTGAATACTAATCGTGCCATTAAACACAAACCTTCGTGCCATTACAGCTTTCAGAACTTTTAAGAGATCCAAAGTGACCAAAGTCTCGAGTAGATTTCTTTTAATACTCATCCGTCTTTCATTTTTTCAACTTAATTTGTTTCCTGATTTCAAATTGACAGAACGATAAAAAATTGATATCTACAATGAAAAGTATAAATAATTAAATCTTGTATGTTCTTCGATTGACAATAAATATAAATTTATAGAAATTTATAGAAATTCTATTCATAAGTTGTGTAAAACAACGACTTCGATTTCATATCGTGAACGTACATCCTTTATTTTCTTCTTATTTATGACTATTTGTTTTTGGCTTTGTTACAATTATGTTTCAAAACTATAAATATCTATATGCATTTTCGAGAAGGTTGAGTGCATAATACAATATAAAAATATGATAATTAAAAGGTAATGTATTGTCTATTAAGAGACTTAATTGATTATCATATTTTGTTATCAAAAATGTCAAAAATATATATTAGGAATTATTTAAAATTTCAGGCTGCGCCGGGAGTGGAATCCAGATTTGCCAATGAACTTCCTGCACCTTCTGGCGGTTCCTACGGAGTGTTTTCTAGCTCTAGTTCTCACACTATGGTCGGCCCAGATGGTAAAACGGTCTCTCACAAATCGTCGACAACAGGTGTAAATGATAATGGAAAAATCACTTTCCGGACAGTAGAGGACTAAAATGTGTATCCTTAACTGGATTTACACAAAATAATTGAACGCTTACCGGGATAAAATACAAGTTGTTTCGTTGTTATCTTTCTAAACTCAATATTCTCTGTAACTCAGAATTATAGATGATATTTTTAATCGTTTGCTTTCCAAATATACGTAAGTGATTGCTATAGAAATACTCATTGTATGTATTTAAGTGACACCCAGAGTACGTAGCGCATGAAACTGTCTGACATATTAGATTGGTGCATATGAAGTTTTTCTTGGAATTGGATTATCTAATATATTGAAGAAGGAGAAAGTTGTTTCAAATCATGTATTTTCAGTATCAAGAATGTTCTGATAAAAAAATTGGAACTTTATTAGTAGACTATTGATATTTATGGATTTTTATATTTTTATGAACGTAGCTAAAAAAATAGAATAAAGATTTGTGTTTGATTAGAGTACTTTGGATATTTTGTATATATCTGAATATTATGTAGGTTCTATGAATTTTTGTACTCTCAAATTCTGCAAAAGTTAATAAATATTTACTTGTCATGTTTACTTATTAATGTACGCTAACGAATCATCAAACAATTTTATAATTCTCTTATACATATGTTCATATTTAGAAATGTTCTGAAAATTAGTGGAAGCATACATTTAGCATTTGATGAAGATGAAAGGTATCCTCCTTTCTATCTAGATTTAATTTTCTAATACAAAAATTGATTTTAAAAAATTTCAAAACTTTTTAATTTTAACTTTCACAAATTTTTTTGTTATTTGGAAAAGTATACTAAATCTAAATAAATAAATAATTATACATGTATATTTCAAAAACCACGTTTCATATGCACCAATTTAGTATAATTGCAATATACAAATAGTTATATAATGAAATCTGATGGTTAAGTTTATGGATTATTACGTCTAGATATATCATTTTAAAATACTGGAAGACACTTGATTTTCTTGTGATACAACTTTATCTCCTATGTATATCTCTTTTTATAAGTATTAGAATTGAGTAACTTCGAATTATTCAGAATATGTAAAAAAAAAAGTTTATAGAAGTTATTTACAAGAGTTATAAAAAAAAAAATGAATTAATGATTATCAATATATCGACGTTGATAATCTTTTGATTTAAATCTCGTTAAGAAAATTTTTAATGAATCAAACAAGAAATTCTGAAAAATCTATTGAAAATTTGAATTCTGTGCATGGAGTCATTAGTAAAAGACACAATTAATAATAATAAGGGAATAAATATATAGACTCAAGAAACAACAAACATAATAGATAACTAATACAAATATTAAAATTGTCTTAATGTCTTATATATATTTATTTAAAAATAAAGTTTAATTATACTATGTATGAGATTTTATATCATAACATAAAAATATGTATTTTTATATGTCAAGTTTCTATAGAAAAATAAGAATTCCTGAGTTTTTAATAAGCTCCTAATGATATTTTTCGATTTAATCTTAATTTTTATAAAAAATGTTAATATCTATGAGTGAGGATGTATATTTAATCGCTTGTACAACTAATTGCGAACTTTTCTTGCCTCGTTTGAAATCTTTTTATAAGATGATCAGATATAGGATCGTTATGTATTAATAGAATTTATACTTTATTAAACGCGATGATACTGTTTACAAGAAAACTATCGTGTATTAATAATTTCTCGATTTCTATTCCTCGTTGGATTGAGTTTTGCTGAAAGGTGGATCGATTTTATCATCAACAACAGGTTTAACTTCAGGTTTTTCAATACTTCTTCGATTTTGGTACCATGGTTCACCACCTTGGTAACGACTTTGAATCTGAAATATTTTATCATTTATAATAAACTAATTATTAACAAAAGCTTAATTAAATTAAATTAAATCAATAACAAATAATTTATTAGTATAATAAATGAAATGAACAATATATTTCTGTATAAATATAAAGATTTTATATTTATAAAATATTATGAATTTTTTCAAAATGAAAATTTAATGAAGGTTTTAACAATTTAAAAATTTCTTGTTATTAAAAAGCAGTTTGATTTAATAAAAACTGTTTGTACATTAGTATCTAACTGATATTATTAGATTGGAAGAAATTCGTAATTTTGAAAAAAATGTTGTTACAAATACAAAATTTAATCATTTTTTGATATATTTTAGCATTACGTGAAAAAGTTTAACCAAAAATTTCCAATTGATTGATGTACAGTGGTTCGCGGAAGCTTCAGGTACTTATAAAAACTGTTTTTGAATATGTTATATAATTTTCTTTAGTTGAAATAAATATAAATATGATTTGGTATTATATCATAAAATTATTCAAATTTTTAGCATTTTCGAGAAGAAAAGCATCTTTATTTTGCCATCTTCTATATAAAACATCTTAGAATGAAACAGAACATGTATTTTAAAAGCAGGGGATTTCAATCTTTAAAATTAATCTAAATTTATTATTATATGATTTCTGTTTACAATATTATAACAATTTTAATACTTAGTATCCGAATGTTAATGGGAGTTGCTGTGCATATCTAAAATGCTTTTAAATTTTACAATTATAGTCAATATAATAATTATAATAATAATAATATATAATTTTACAGTCATATTCAATACAAATGAAATTTCAAAAATTTTGTGTAACACACATAATATATAACATGAAATTTTTTATAAATATTGAAATATTCTCGTGAACCATTGTATATACTGAAATACTCTAACTTTTAAACTGTGCAAATGTATTACAAACTTTATAAACTATGTATTTCATACTGGAATGTACAACACAGCAAATATTATTTGTAATTAATTTCATACACATTCTTTCAAAATTATTTTACTATTCACTATTTCACAAATCGCTATTATTATAAATCAATGTGCACGTTAATAACAAATCTTCAAAAGATTTTGTTATAATACATCTTTAAATTATAGCAAATCTTTGAATTACAATAAATCTTTTAAACCTTTTATTATAACAAATCTTTACAAGGAGATTATTTTACCTGTGGAATAGTTTTGTATAGATATAACAATGGACGTGAACGATTCAGATGATTGTATGTATTTTCTATACCACGAATTCCATCCACAATTGGAATGTCATTTTTCTTAAAATCAGTTTTCAATTTCGTTGCTATGGTAAGACGAACATTTGTTATGATGTCACCCTCGTCATTTAGTCTCGATGAGACCGAAACATTACAAATGCCATTTTTGCACACGTCCACAGTGGACTTCGTCCCGTTTCCATTCACCGTAATTTGAATATTATTAATAACAACTGGCTGTTCCAATGAGTCATCCTATAAAATTTATTTTTATTTAGTCATCCTAGTAAGTAATATTTATTTTTATATCGATTAAACGGCACTTTAAATTATATTATCTCGTTTTGTGTAATTTATTATGTTACGGAGCTTTTTGAAATAATTATTACTTCAAATAATTATGCAGAATTACTTAAATGATTTGATTAATTAAAAATTTAGTAATTGAATAATTTAAGTAATTTAAAATTTAATAATTCAATAATTTAAATAATTATACAAAATTATTAATACTATATCAATATTATAAATTATTAATGCTAATATTTTTTTCTTGCTTAATTTAGTGATTATAATTCTGCAGCTAGTAAAACAGTAAATATTGAATGCTCGAACTGATTGACATCTATTTTAACTTAAGACTTGGAAACAAGCAATTATTATAATTAAATCATTTACTACTTCTACAATGATATACTGATGCAATAAAATAATAAAGCAACGTGCACAGACAAAGTAAAATTTTCAAAATATCGATACATGGCTATATTACTTTCAAGTTGCATAATTTCATAGAATATAGAAGAATATGTAATGAACATGAGATACATATGAGAAAATACTCTTATGTGTATCTACAGCTATATATTTCAATGAAACATTATTTCTTTACTTAACACATTACAAACAATTACAAACGTGAAACAACAAACTTACTTACCCCTATAAAATCACTTCTTTTCGTATTCAGCATTCTAAGCTCATTTTCACTATTTATTTTAAAGGTGAAAGATTTTAAAATTTGCTGAGCCGTTGCTATCTGATCGTGAACTTCGTTTAAATTTAGAAAATCTCTTAAACTGAAATCGTTGGAATTTCCTTCGTTTTCTCGCGAGTCGAATACGATCTGTGAAGAAATTTCCATACATGATATATAATTTTTTAACGCAGATATCGTGAGAAGAACGAAAAGAACAGTTTCTTTTATTTGTTTCTCCATTGTTTGTTCGACTAGTACTATTTTTTTTTCGAACAGAACATTGAATGTTGCGCAAAGAAATTGCGTTTTGAGGAAGGGATAAGTATTCAAGCAGGATGTACACTGCCGCTCAAAAGTATGCGAACACTTACAATTTTTATAGAATCTATTTGATTTCACTGTTTCAAGGAAGTAATCTCGACTTTCTCTATATATTTTTTACTAGATTTCTATGCAATTTCATACGTTTGCAGACGCAATTAAAGAAACAGAAGTTAATCAAACATATCTTTTAGCTATTAAATCATTTGCATCACAACTTAGAATTGAAAATGTCCATATTACAATTTATCAAATCTTAATTTTACTATTTACTATTCTCTACTAATACTAATTACAATGAAATATCAAACATAATATCATATAGACACTTAATCAGTATAAGTCACTTTTGATTAAGAACAATTTGTGCTATGAAAATATTCTTTTTTCACACAAAATCTTCAGTTTCGACAGAACATTATTATATGCTCATTGTAATATAATTATTAAAATATAATATAATATAACGTGTTATATAATTAATAAATATTAGAATATAATAACGTATGAAACATTATTAAAATAACATTACTATACAAATTATTAGAAATAATAATTAAATTGTTTCATTGACAGTTTTAATCACAAAAAGATTTGCATGATACAAGCAGTTTTTAATAAGAAGTCACTTACATTTTTATAAGTATTTTTATAAGTATTAATAAATATATGATTTTTAATCGCTGCTCGCGAATTATTCCGCGTTTTATAATTTACTTATTCGAGAAATTTTTTATTTTTTATAATGGATTAAATGTTATAATAAATACTCTATTCAAAATATTTTACATATTTTTGTATATTCTCTACATTTTTGCATCCACAAATTTCCCATAAATGTATGAAAATTCTTATTAGTATACTTATTACTTAATCCATCGATCATATATATACATATATATATATACATATATAGAAGAAAAAACAAACATATTTCTCATCAGTTGTAATGTTCGTTAGAATCAAATGTATTTAAATAAATTGGTTACGATATAAAATACTATTATTTTGTTTAATAAGATAAATTTTTACTAAAGTATTAACATCCTAAAATGGGACAGAGAACAATATCCTGTTGTACCTACATACTAAATAATGAAGAGAGTGTGTAGAGTGAAGAAAAAAACAGTAGAGTGTGTAGAGTGATTATATAATATATATTCTTATTATTAAATGGTGTTTTTTAAAAAATTTTTTTGTAAGTTCATATACACAAATGGACGAAAGTATTCGCAGGTTCGACGAAAAATTGTTGATACTTTAAACTCTCTACTATAATAGTTCTAAGTTGTTTTTTCATATCATAAGCAAGTGGGAAAATATGGGTACTTCTATTCTTGAAAATAAAAAAATTTCTCTACTAAAAATAACTTTCATCACTAGATTCAGTATCATCTTGAAAATTCAAGTTCCTCTTTGACTTGTTCTATCATAGTTACTGTTTTAAGTAGGCTTGTAGAATTTATAGAAAATAAGCAATGTTTTAAAAAAAAGTGTACCTATATAAATATACGGTGAATAAAGTATTGGTGAGATATTTAATGAATCATTGATAAAATTACATTAATAATAAAATTATAATAAAATAAATGGATAATGGTGTAAATAAAATAACATAAGATAAGATTATTATTAGTGAGATAACTAATGTTTATAATAAAATACTAATAAAGTAAATAGATAATAATATAATATAATAATAATAAAATAATGAATGAAATTATTATTGATGAGATATTTAATGATCTATTAGTAGGATAATGTTAATAATACAATATCACTAAAATAAATAAATAATGATGTAGTAATAAAATAATGAACAATACGGTATGAATTAGACTGCAAGAATTTGGTTCCAATTTATCAATGATTTTACATCTTTTTTCCAATTAAACATCAAATAAATATCAATGAACGAAGTGTTCATTTTTGAGCTGCAGTGTATATAGTATCTATTACAATAATGACAGTGATTACTATATATGTAAGAAAATTACAATGACCTTCATTGATCTAACAGGCATAAAAAAATAAAAAAAGAAAAGAAAAGGAAAGACTTAACTTGCGAAAAGTCAGCTCTCGAAGAATGGATACGAATCAGCGACCATAATTGCTTCCTGAAGCGTTATCTATCACGAGATCAAAATGAATATTAAGCATTTGAGGCTAATTTATTATGGCTAATTAACGTAAACGCGTTACGTGACTGTATGTAAATTGAAAAAAATAGGACAACATAATGTGTTATCGACACGAGGATTACTTCAATAAACTTCTTCCTTCGTGTAATAGCTTATAATAATAATACAATCCTTTGTTAATTCATTACCGTAGAATTTCGTTGATTTGAACTTTATTTATCGCATAGAAATTTTAATTAACGATCAATTAAGTAAACTTTTTCCGATTGAATTCGCTTATCTATGAACGATAAATTATGTGAACAAGAAATAATGAACAATGGGGACGGTTCACCTAAATATTTCAAGAAACAACGCATTTTCTATGAAGAAAAGAATTGACTTCAGAAACATCAAGGTTACTTCTCTTTTCAAACGGAAATATTTATTTATTTTTCATTCAAGCAAAAATTTTGTGTGGAGGATCATTTTGTTGGATTTCGTCGTAAAAAAATATTTAACGAAAAACTTATTCCAGTTTTGCTATTGTCGTTTAAAATCTAACGTAGAATAAATGTTATTGAGTTGTTAAAATTTTACTGTAAAAAATATCTGTGTAAAACTGAATCAATATATTTGTTGTTACAGGCAATTAAAAAGCATTTCTTGTATTGTAACTTTGATTATCGAAATGCTTTTATTACATTCATTTTCATTTTATTTCTCAATATTCATTCATGTCCATTTTATTAGTTATATTTAAATAATTTGAAACAAGTAGAAGAAATTAAAATAAACAAAATATTTCAAGACAAAGTCCAAATATCTTTAGCATTCCTCAAATGAAGTACTATTTTACCTATTGCAACAAAATAAAATATTTTATTTCTACAATTATGCTCATAATTCCATATAAAACAGATTATTTGCTATTTATTATTTATTATTGCACGATAATAAGGAGAAAATTTTTTAACACGATGACTTGTGACTTTTGTGAATTTTTGACTCAATCACCTTCTTCGCTGTAAACTTGTTTTAACAGAAGAACTTAAGTAACGGTATAAATATTTATGTACACATATATATATAATCGTTTAATTTTCTCAACTTCTTCAAAGGAAGTTTCTGAAACGAACGGACGAGTAAAGTTGTGCGTTGTTGAATAGAACCCTCCACGATGGAGCTAAAAAGACACGCAACATGCGTGAATGACGATGCATTGCTCTTTCGACGTGGAGAATAAAGAATGACGAAATGCACTCTGATATGCACTTTGTGACAGTACGATCTCAGCCAGTACACAGCGATTGAAGCAATTTCAAATTCCCTCGTTTACATCTAATGTTTGGCTAAGCCCCTGTGCAAACGAGGGGTCGCGAAAGCTCATTGAAATTCATTAAAATCCCTCGTTGCGTCTATCCACTCTTACGGCTTTCTTACAGCTTAAGCCGAATTTGATAACACGCGTGCATTACACGATAATGTTTGTAATCGTTCTTCATTTCGTAGGCTGTTATAAATATTCAGAGAATGATCAATTTGTGACAATGGTACAGTAAAGCCTTTCATGTCCAAACTAATGGGGGGAGGGGACAAAAAGTGTTCGACTAATGGAATTTTCCATGGATGATGGAATGATTTCTTGTTCTAAGTTTAGACAAAATAATTATACTTAAAATGATTAAAATAATTTTATAAAACAAAAAACTGTCGTATTATGTTGTCGGGTTTCGTATAGCATCATGTTTTATTGCACATGTATCATAAAAATGAAAGCTAACACAATCTCAATTAATGAACAAATTGCGTTTAAGTAACGTTTATAAATTCAATTGTTTTACATTAATAAATTATTTTATTATTATATTTTATTATTATTATAGTAAATATTATTATTTTATATTTATTATATTAATAATATTATTATGATAGTATAGTATAGTATATTATTATACACTATATTATCACACTATATTATTATAGTGTAATATATATTATTATTATAGTACATGTTATTATTTTATTATTACATATTATAGTATATATTATTATTTTTATTATAGTAAATATTATGTACGTTAAAGTAGCTTTCTGCGACAAAATCATGTGTATATAAACATGATACGATAAATAATTATGACAATTCTATTATTACAAATATATATATTAAAAAAGTTAAAATATCTCCTAAACTAATAATTTTTCGACATACACAGGTTAATACTTTTTTTTCTTATAGAAAATGTTAAGCTGAATCAAAAAATATATTAATCTATCTAGAAAAATTGAAGTGACCTTGAAATTTCCCAAAAATCTTCATGCACAGAGAAACCATTATTGCCATGTTATGATACTGTATAACTTTCGTTAATAAAATATTTTCATATTTTTAAAAACAACGGAGATGTTTGAAGCGAGCCACCATATATATAAAACATATAACACATAATATATAAATTAAAGGAATTTTATCAGAAAACTTAAATGCAAACTAACGCCAATGTCGAAATATATTTAGCGTGAATAAAGATTTCGATACGATAAGATTAAAAATGCACAGCAATTTAAAAATCACAGACCGAAGTCAGAAACAATGTTATTCAAATAATACCCACGTTTAGTTTGGTTCGCGCAATTAAGCACTATCTAGCCATCGGTTATACTGCTTTTCGCGCTTTTGTATACGCTTAGCATCCGGTTTCCCAAGAAATTCTGGCATACCTCGTATCCAGACGCATTTACTGCTGATGGAGCGTAGAAAACGTAGTGGGTAATGTACCATGTCTAATCGGGCTCGCATTATTGGGAAATTATGAAGCATGTGGTGTAAACCATTCGATCCTAACAATGTAAATACGCACAAAATTTATCATTCGTCGTCTTGTACATTTCTTTAGCAGATGTTTGCTAATAAATTATAATTTACAATACTTATTGATGTGTATTGCACTCTCCTTTAGCATTCTGATCAAACTCTTTTAGTCGTTTGTGAATCAATTAATTTTATAAATAAACATATTTACTTACATTTGCAAAAATTTCCACAGAATTTTTTATAATTCTTTACTGTATTATTTTTGTATACATTATTTGACTATTATTTTCAATAACATTTGCTAAGATGAATTTATTAATTCATTTATTAAAATAGGACATTAATTCTAATAAGTTTATTAACGACATTTAAATATGAGTCGTTTATTAGTTGAAATAGTTAAATACATTATCATCTGTAATTCGTTTTCATGATATAAAACAATAGATGATTATTTAGGAAAAATATTCTGTAGTTAAATTGTTTATTAACTTTCACACAATTATTCAAATAAAATTTTTATCTTTTCTATAATTTTCTCTGTTATTTTGTATAAGTAATAATATACTTGAAATTTAAATTACTTTATTATGTAAGTTTATTTCAAATCCAAGTATGTTTATAATAGGAAAATAATTTTTTCTATTGTGTTTCCTATTATGTTCAAAAATGTATTATTTCAAGAAGTTAATTAATATGCATGCGTTAATTAATATGTTAATTAATATGTATTACTCTTAATAATTTCAATCTTCTAAACTCTTTAATTTTACTAAAAATTTTACTAAAAATTTACTATAAAACTGAAAGTTACTTAAAAGTTAGATTAGAAATTAAGCTGATTGAACAAATTAAATTGGAAATTACGATATATAAAATTAAAAGATAAAATTCTAAATGGTCCTGAACAAATTAAATTGGAAATTACGTTATATAAAATTAAAAGATAAAATTCTAAATGGTCCTGATTCGATTGAAAATTCTAAACAGTCCTAATTTAATTCTAATTAAAAATATGAATTCGCAGTTACATACCATTTGTCAATTGAATTCACACATCGACCGTATTTGTCCAATTAACACGAAAGACTGTGCAGAAATGAAAAAAAAAAAAAAAAAAAAGAAAAAAATATGGAAAGACGTCAGATGATTAAGAAATACGATTACATAATTTATAGATCCCAGCGAGTGTCATTCTTTATCACGGAGGATGTATCCGATTGTACGCGAAACAGAGCCAACGAGACAGCGGAAAATTAGGCACAAACTCATCTGTCATTTTAAACAAGACGTCACGGTAGGAAGACACCCCATTAATTTTGTCACCCAACGGTCGTGTGACGTAGGGCCCACGAATTACAGGAGTCGTTTAACGAGACGATATCTCACGATTTGACGAACGATTTCCGAGAAAACAAAAACTCTTTCGGCGTCGAGTTCTCCCCTAACTATGTTGCTTCAGTCGTTATGAAGAAATGCCAAAAATAACCGGTCGAAGGAATCGAGTGACTCTCCATCGAAATAGGGAGGAGGAGAGCTTTAAGCTAGGTAGATCCATTCGAAAGTAAAATTGTCGCGAGTTGCTCTCGAAGTAGACACTTCTATAATAAGCTATCCAAGAGCATCGTTAGATTTTCCAAGAGTGTATTATCATTACTTGTTTCCACATGGAAATGAAATAATATTGTTGTCGTGACACATTACTCTGTTAACATTTCGTTTTCTGTGAGCAACTCTCGAGAATCAGTCTTCAAAGCCAATAACTGCTGATTTCTACTCTAAAATGAAATGAAGTAGTAAAATATTTGGTTAAGACATTTTCTTTTTTAAGAAAAATAAATTTGTTTAACAAGTTTTAATGTTTAATATTTTTAAATCTTTTAAGTATTTTCTTCATTAAAAATTAAGAATTAAAATGAAATAAATGAATCAAGTAAAACTTGTTAGTTTATATTAAAATTCTTATTTTTATATTTATAAATTATCAATGTATTTATATACGTATATTTTACCTTGATATATCTGTCTTTGAGCGTAATGTAAATAATCTGAATTATTTTTTCAATTATGTATTTAGGTGTTTGCACGTGAAATAAATATTGAAGATTGCTGTAAAAATTATCTATAAATTAGAATGGATATCTTTTTAAAATGATATTTTTATATTCAGTAATGTAATTTGTTACTAATCTGAAACTAAACAAATTTGGTTTCCTTAATTTTGTTTCTTTCTTGGCAATTATTGGATTATTATAAACTGATTATTATAAATTGGTAAACTATATTATTATAAATTGGATTTATATTCATGCGTTACTCTGTAATATTTTATTTTAGATAATGTGTAAAGCAAGTTATTTGAGTACATTTGAATAAATAATTATTTTACTTATATTTTATATCTAAAATATTTTTTATTCAATATATTTAAAAAATAAATTGTTTTATTTGAAAATAAAGGAAAATCATTTTTTTCTATCATGGTACAGAACCTCTATTTTATTTTGCATTATAATTACTAAAATAATTTATTTTTCAATCAAAATATTGAAATTTACTTATTATCATTCCTATTTCTTATCTTGTTTGGGATAGTCATCTGTTCTTTACTTTTCTCACTTTTATTTTAAATGAAAAATGTCCAATTCTGTAATAAAAAGAGTTGATTCTTGCGCGAAGAAATAACAACAGGGTTGTGTATATTATATCGCTTTATTATGACCATGTAACATCTGCGATTTGTACATTATTATCGTCTTTCGCACGTTCGTTTTCTATGTACACAATTTTCGCCGAAATAGAACCGCGTTGTGGCTCTCTATTTATAACGTCTACGCTAACGTCTTACATACACGTACTTATATGTGTAAATATGTACAAAAATACAAAACAGGATATTGGCACACTCGAAACACTGATCATGTGGCAAGCGAAGCGTATCACATCATTTGAAAAATGTCCAACGCCAACAATTTTTTGTTCAATTACGCGCGGCTTCCTGAGTACGGAATTGGCAGTTTACAGTGTTTACAGCATCGATTACAGCATTTGGCAATTCCTTGAAACGTTGGACTACATATGTACGTGGCGGTATTTCGAATGAACGATATACAGGCAACTGTAACAAGCCACATCTTTTTTCTCTGCTTCAAGTTAAAAATTAGAATAAAAAGATGGAAAGGTTCAAAATGAACTACATGCTTATTTACGATCACATTTTCTTCGCAAATGGATATTTTATAGTTTTTTTTTTTTTTTGGCATATCGAATTTATTGTCATTTTATGTCAAAAACCATGACAGAAAAATATATAAATTTTAATTTTGTTTCCCCTGTATTTCATGCGATAAATTCTACCTTCTAAATTGAAACTATTTTTTAGTTTCCAAATTGAAAATATTTTTCAAATTCATCAATTGTCAACCATTAATCTAATACTTTTTCGTATAAACTGAAAAACAAGTAAAGTGAAAAAATTTGATAAAGAAAAAGAAAAATTTTAAAAAATATTGCAAAAAATATAAATATAATTTGATATATCTAAGAAAAGGAAAAATTTTTAAAAATGATGCAATTTTAAAAAATACGTGCATAAAAGATGTGAGCATGAATATGTAATTCACCTTGAACTGTTGATCTTTTTCTTTTAATATTTTTCTCTAATCTCAATCGTCAGATATATATTACTTGTTAGTAGTTGCGTAAATATGTATATCAAACAAATAAACTTACAGTCAGTCTTAACTTAAGTAGAAATAAATTATGCATTACGTCAAACTTTTACAGTGACTTGTTACTGGACGCTATTACTAGATTGCGAATGTTCGTGCAATTTCATACTTTTCTAAAAAAAAACTTAACTAAAAAAAAAAAAATGAGATCTAAATAGAGATCTATTTTATTTATTAAATTCTCGTCTAGCCAACTTTATATCACTTTGAGATTGTACAATATATTATAAAATAACATAACATACCTAATAGAATAGAATATTTTTGTTATAAATTATAAGCGAATTTTTATGCATGTATCTTAAATTTTTTATAAATATCTATGAAACTGGGATCTAAATTTATTAACTATCGTAATATCTTATTTATTTATTATTATCTTGAATATTTTATATAGTTTTACATAACATTGCATTGTGTGCATCTCCAAAACTTCACGTAAATGCATAAAAATCCGCCTAATCTAATTGCAAGCATCGTTGCATGATATTTAATATTACATAAAACTACAAAGTTGATATAATAAAAAACTACATTATTATGCTTTGGATATTTTACATACATTTACATAGGTATATAGCATTTCGAAATTTTTAATTTTCTACAAATGCGTAAACATTCGCACTCTAGCTGTTACAGAGAATACGTGGCTGCATCTATTTAATACTTCTCAAAATAATTTACGTGATAAACTCCACGAAAACGAGTTCTGCGACTTTTAAAAAACTCGACTCGATCATTCCTCTTTTCTTTTTTTTTTCTTTTATAAAATGCATACGAAACTACATGCCTATCGCTAATATTTGCTCAACTTTCGTGACAATTTTAAAGTTAATGTTTAAGTACTACCATTATATATGTACATGTTCTACCAACGATTTTGTTTTCTCAGTCAGTGATAGAAAATTCATATTTTTCGTACGAGTTGCACAGTCGATAGCAGCCGTACGACGATTAAACGTATCTGGTCAATTGAGTGTGGAAATCTTGAAGACAGACTATCAGCTGGCTGAATGTCGGTCTTTCGTCTGCGGACATTGCCCAACAATAGGCCATAACAGCGAACAGCTCATCGGGACAATTTATTGGTTGTGCTAATCTATATCCATCTCTGAGATATGAAGCCATTTCAAACGCGTCTACTTCCACGTATGGTTGCTGCGCTAATGTCGTTAGTTCCCATAATAATACTCCGAATGCCCACTGAAATATCGATAAAAATATATCTATTAAAGTTTCCATTTTAGAAGCAAATCAGTGTGAATTCTCATTGAAACTTGCTCTACGTAACTTCTTCTTATCAAAACTCTCGATCTATGAAACATTTTAGTTATATTATTAATAATATAATTTTATAATAATTATAAGGTCCTTCAGTTTAGATTAATGAACTAAGCTTGTCAATTGCCCAAAGAGATTCGATCAATTTAACAAGACTGCATATAACTTTAAGAAAAAAACAAATTTCTTCTTCGAAAGTATTATAATAAATTTTTTAAATAATAAATTAACATTAAATATAATTTATTTTTATGAAGATACATTAATAAATTTTTGTATAATATTTATAATAATTATTATATTAATATTAAATAAAATTGTTTTTAATTTTAATTTTATAATTTTTAATTTTAATTTATTAAAAATTTAAAAATATTTTATTATTAAAATATTTATAAATTTATATTAGGTTTTATTATAAATTTAATTTTAATAAAAGTAAATATTAAAATAATATTAATTCTTTTTTTAAATTTTATTTATATAATTAATATATATAAAATTATTATTTATTATTTTAAATAAATTTTTAAATAAATATGAAATAATTTATGAAAAAACATTTTATGAAATTATATTTTCTAATATTATAGTTTTATTTTCTATATTTAATTTAAAATTATTTTTTAATAAAATATCATTTTATATAATTATTTTAATATACATATATATTTAATAATAATTTTTATATTATATTAATTTATTATAATTTAAATAGCATAATATTGAAAATATTAATGAAATTAAAAATTTTTAAATATAAAATTAATTTTTTAAATTTAATTAATAAAAATATATTTAAATTTTAACTTTAAGTTTTATTATAAATATGAAGTAAAATTACATTTAATTTCGACTTAAAATTTAATCATTATATAATGATTCTTATTTAAATTAAAATATTTCATAATTATTAAGTTAAAATATTTCTTATTTATATTAAAAATATATCATAAATATAAATTAAAATAATTTTAAAAATAAAATTATTTATATTTTTAAATAATATATATATAATTTAATAAATAATAATTAATAATAATTATATTATTAAAAATATTTATATTATAAATAATTTAAAATTAATAAATTAAAATTAAATTAAATAAATTGAAGAAATTTCTTCTTGGAATACAAATGAAACGTAATATAAATAAATTTAATAATAATAATATTATTATAATAATTTAAATAATTGAATTCACATCAAATTTACTTGATCAAAGTGAAATGAAACAAGTCGAGTGAAATTTAATTAATTGAAGTTAAAATTGAAGCGTACCGAATCTAAAATATTCTCGCCGGTATTAGGCTGATAAAAATATATTCTTAGGGAGAACCGATTTTACTCACCACATCAGAAGCAGTGCTGAACGTTTTATTAAGCAAGCTTTCAATGGCCAGCCACTTTATCGGACGATTCTCGTTGTCGCCGAGGCAATGATAATCTTGCGGAAACAGGTCTCTGGCTAAAGCGTTGTCCGTGATTTGAACCCTCAGATCATCGTCGACGCTAATAAAATGCAACGCTGATCGTTAAACGTCCTCGAGAGAGACGACGCCACTGCTTATATAAACGTTAAAGGCGCGAGGCACAAGAGCAAATAAACGAAACGTGGCTCGGTTTAAATTTGTCCGCTGGGTTCACGAAAAAAAAAAAAAAAAAAAAAAAAACTGGATAAAAAGGATTCACCACAAGGCAGTATTAGAGTCATGTTCATGAGAGTGAACCGTAGCCAGTAATTAAAGCAGCGTCGTATTTATTGCTAATTAATGCTGCACGGCCAATTAATTTCGTAACGAAACGTAACGACCTTAACTTTATTGTTACGACGCTTCAACCGATGCCCCGCTAAAATATTCAGTACGTTATAATATGTGTTATAAAATGTCGGTTTCATGCTTGAGCAAAAATTGAAGAGACAGGAACAATTAAAATTAGATAATGCTTGAAAACTTTCAAATACACGAGATGTATGTGCGAATATTTTGTACGTTGTCAAAACGTTGGAAAATGTTAAGAGTTTCAAGAAAATAATAACTTTGTTCGTGACACTAACATTTTAAAATTTTTTAAATTTTTCTCGCATATTTTAATTACAAGTTACAATTCTAAGTAAATTGCAAATTTCTAAAACGAAAGTGCATGTATGCGGGGAGCGCAAAGAGTAAAGTGTTTAGTCAGATGTGAAACGTTAAATAATTTCCTTTACTTACACGCAATTCCTGGCGGCCAAGTCTCTGTGTACCAGTCTCTTTCTATGAAGATACTGGACCCCTTTGGCAGCTTGAAGGGCCATTTCCACGACTTCTTGGGTAGTGAGTGCCCTCGGTGGCCCTTCGCTGCTCAATTTACACCTTAGCAAGAACCTCTTCATGTTCTTGTAACCGGTGTGCGGATACAAGAGAAAAGGCGCGCTTCTATCTTCGATGGAGACACCCAAAACAGGCAGCAACGCTAGATGACTCAAACCGTATAATGCCAAACCCTCTCGTAATAGAAGGGCAACCTTCGAAAACAAACAACCAAGAGCTTGATGAAATTAAGGACGTAATTATCAATCGATATGAAAATTTAAATAGATTGCGAATTCTTGTGTATGTAATTTAAAATTGCAAAATTGAATAGAATACGTATATAGTTTAATTGAATTTAATAAATGTATGATTTAATTTAATTGTCTTTATCTAGAGTATTTTATAGGAAATTACTATATATATATATATATATATACAATAGAAAACATCTGTTTCTTTTTCTTTACATAGGTGAAAAGGAACTAAACTATGTTTGAAATACAAATGTATTAAATATTTAGAATGAATTATTAGCCATATGAATAATTTAAAATAGAATAAAGAGTTCAATTAATTATAAAATTGTACGAGAATATAAAATTAATGTAAAATATGTATAACAAACGTATAGAATCAATCGTATATTTTAATGTAACATTAACACAAAATCATGAGGTTACTTGAAGAACAATAAATGACTCAATTAAATATAAAATAGCATAAAACGTAAAATTGTATAAAGTATACAATATGAAACTCTATAAAACGTACAACAATACTCTAACGTGCAACTTCGAACAGCGTAACAATAAAATTATCATAAAAAAAGATATTTTAAACATTTCATCTTCAATCTACAACTGTTGAATTTTCGTATCACGTGCAACTATGTTCGAGTTATTTACACGAAACGAGCAGGAAGTACGTGATAATTACACGGTGAACCGCACGAAACTAATTGCTAGTAAGTTAAGAGAAAACTTGGGATAATTTCATTGATAATGTTGAAAGAGCGCGAGCTAATTGACGGACAGAGGGAAAAATGCTTACTTGCGATTGTGATGCATGTTCAGCAGCAGTTTTCACTAGGACATCCCTCGGGGAGGACGCACCCTCCTCGTGATAACTGCCTCTATACACGCGACCGAATGTGCCTTCCATTTCGATGCTGAGAAGGCGTACCCTGCATCTGTAACAAGTGCGAAGCATGATTACTCTGGGATTCGTGACTGCGCCATCAGCCAAACCGATAATTATTTCGTACAGAATCTGAGGTCCTTCTTTGCGAAATTATTGGGAGGCCGAAAACGATCGGTCGAAGTATCGAAACGGAAGCAGCCTGAATAATCGAAACAGGTTAACATAAGTACTTTCGAAACTTCTTCTCCGTGTTCCTCTTTTCTTTAGACGTGCAAGAAATTACACATGAACGATGAAAAGCGGTAGTTTATTCATTTAATTTATCATTAGATTTATTAGTGAATTTTACCAGGATAAATATTCGTTTCATTTTATTAGATTGGTACATATGAAGTATCGTCTCTTTGAAGATTTTGACTGTAACTATATTAAAAGAGGAGGAAATTTATAAAATTATAAATCACGATATCAAAATGGTAATAAGTGTAGCTTCACGACAGAGATTTTTTTTTTTTTTAGTTCTTAGATTGGTGCATGAGAAATATCGTTTCTTTAAACTTCAATTTTGCTGCACTATCTATTAAATTATTCCTTATTGTTAATTATAATTGTATTAAAGAAAAATTTTTTTATAAATCATGATATTATAATAATGAAGAGAGTAGTTTCATTTAAGAAGTTTCACTTGTGTATAATTTTGGCATAGTTGTTAAATTCTTTCTTATAATTTTTATTATAGTAATAATATATACTTCTATTAATAATAATATATGTTTAAAGTCATAATTATATTAAAAAGGGAGAGATTTATTATAAATCATGTATACTAAATGTTGAAAAATTTCACCCAAAATATGAAACTTCATTATTGTGATATTAATCTATAATTAAAATATTTTATTTTTCAACTTCAATTATTTTAAAGAACTTCATAAACGAAGAAATTATAACAGCTACGTTCTAAGACTTCAATTCTAAAACTGATTATTTTTACTAATCTAGAATACTTAAATGAAATTATCGTTAAAAAAATAAAAACTGATCAACTTACTACTTTGAAAAACTTACATAACATATTGAATGATATAAAAATTATTTTGAAAACTAACTGCAATTAAAGTTTGATTGCGTAAAATGATATTTTATGAACTAACTTAATATTAAATATTCTAGAGAATATATATTTTTGCATATTATCTATATGCTATTTTTGCGTCTTTAAATGTATAACAACATTTGCAATTTGTTTATTATTTGTTTATTTGCAGTGTTGAAGATACAAACACTGTTCGAATATTTATCATGAAGTACAAATATAATTTTATTAATATTAATATCTATAACATTAGATATGATTAGATTATTAATATCTATAACTTAAATTTTCAATACACTTTAGTAAAAACACCTTTTTAATTCAAAATTCATTATTTAAATTTTCAGTATATTTCAACAAAAAACTTTTTAAACTCATTTTTCCATTCAATCTTTTAATTCAATCTCATAAATATTCCAAAAGTATCGACAAACATTTGATTACATTTGATAAAATAAATCTCTGTGCTTTATTTTTATTTATTTTTAGTTGATTGATTAATTATTGCAGTTTCTCTGGTGTCTGAAATATATACATAAATTTATGTACTATCGAAGTCTCTTTTATTTTATTATAAGTACATCTACAGAACCTGAAAATCCGGATTTTCTTTAACGCTTGCAACTGCAGAATTTCTCCAAATTGTGACATTTACACAATCCATTGACTAAGTTATAAATAAGGATAGTTATTTCATAAAATGTTGAATAATCTTATTAAATAATCTTCAGTAATCTTTTTAAATAAAGATCAATTACTGTATTTGCTAAATAATGAATGCGAGATATCTTAGTCCACTTGTTACATTTGAGCTACTTGGTTTTTATTATACCATTATATTTTAATTTATGTTTATATTTGATTGTTGCATATGAAATGGCGAATTTTACAAACATATATAATATTCAGAATTTAGTAATTAAAATTGTTACTAAATAATACTTATTAGACATCTATTTGAAACTTAAAACTTATCGGGCACAACAATGTATTATTAATTACTTTAATTGTTATTAATTAATTATTAAATTTATTATATTTATTATTAAAATATTATATTTATTATTAATTATTAAAATATTATATTTATTAATTATAAAAAGGCAAGTTAGGCATTAAAATCAGATATGAATAAAGATTGAATTCGAGTGTATTTTTTTGTAAAACTCGAGATTTTGACATAACAAAATAAAATCGCTTGCAACAAATACTCAAAGAACTACATTAAGCTGGGAAACAAGTTGTCATTTATGTGAAATGCTTACAGTTAAATTAGAAAATATAAATATAGAAAATGGGCCAAAAAATAATGTCAACAATGACTGATTAAAGATTTTAATTTCAACAATTATAATATTATTTTACAATAGTCAAAATATGTCGATTCGAAGTTTGAATTAATATTTTCAGAAAGACTATAATAATTTAAAATTAATAAGTTTCAAGAAACTTACAAGCACAAATTTCAAAATTTTCATTAATAATTTCGTCATTTTATCTACAACAACTTAATATTATTTTTGATATTTCATTTACCTTTGGACTGTAATTTCTTGGATTCTTTCGTGCAATTCTCGACTTGGTCGATCGTCTAGTCTTCTATAAGTAGAAGTAGATGTTGCAGAAGCAGGCGGTGGTGTTTCTGGCGATAAAAAAGTTTGTGCAGGTCCAACACCAGTGCCTCTTTCCACACTACACGCAGAACTGAGACCCCTCGATTCCCTTGAAAAGGCAAACACAATTTCATATGAAATTAAATACGTTTTAACAAATTTGTAGAATATACAGGAATGTATAATTTTATTTTATAAAATATTTTATATTTATTTTTCTTTCAATGAAAGAATTTACAAATTTAAATTATTTCTTTTTATTTTTCTTTATTCCTTTTCTACTGCTTTGTCAATTTGATATTAAAACAAGAGAGAGATATAAATAGTAAATTAGTATATATTTAATACCTTCTACAATAATAATAATAGGTATTTCACTTGTTAATTATAATAATATTATTAATGATAATGTAATTATTATACATAAAATTATAAAATAATTAATAAAATTAATAAATATTAATCTTAATTAAAAAATTATTAAAATTATAAAGCAGTACAACAATACCTATTAAAGCTATTAAAATTATTAAGAATAGTCAATGATTGCCTAATTTAAAATAAATCATCCAGTAAAGAGCATTTCGATGCTTTCTATTCTTTTTATTCTTCTTACATATTTAATTTACGTGCTTTTCACTTTTTATTTTAATTTTTTATTTTCTTTTCGTAATAAAATAAAATAACATTTCTTCGATTTGTCTTTTTAAATTTTACAAAAATATAATCACCTATCTATACAAATTCTATTGTATTCTTTATGGTTTCGCATAAACCGTGTTATATCTATTATTGTCATCAATGATTCTAGTAAGGAAAATCAAAAGATTCAAGTATGAATAAAAAGTAATTACAAAAATAACGAATTTTAAAATAAACTAAAATACTTTAATAATATGATGAAAAGCATAATATGTTATAATAATAAATATAAAAATAAAAATAAGATAAATTCCAAAATTTTGGTTAAATAATAAAGGAAGTTATCAGCTAGTAAAACGTTGAGAACAATCAACGGCCACACCTTTGTTTATTTAAAATAAATTACTCACTGAAGGGGATCCCGATGCCTCCTAGTCTTCTTGTCACGGACATAGTAAGCAACAACAAGAACTAAAACGGCTGCGATGAACGCGCAAGCACAGCCGATAGCAGCATAAAACACTTGTCCGCCTGAAGGGGATCCGGAAGCGGCGACGTGTACTTCCTCCGCTCCTATGTTACTTTTATCCTTCAAGCAGATTTTCTTTCGTCTGAAGTCCAAACTGGTGGTGTTCCGTCTCGACAGGGAGACATTTATCCGAAGGCTCAGATCGACCTCCGCGTCGTACGGGCCGCAATGCAGGGCCAATGCCCAAGTTTGTAGCCCACCGAGAGGAATTTCACCAGCCTGCGATATGTTCAATGAACTACTCAAAGCTGATGGGTTGCTGATGTCCACCGACATTGTATATGGCAACTGAAACATTGGAAATAATTGAATGTTCATCGGGGGATTATTAATTTAAAGATTTTATAACTGTACTGTTGGATGTCGTTGAGTAATTGAAGAACTTCAGGGGCAAAAGTCACTTGCATTTAAATGTTAAACATTTCTATAGTTGCATTTAAAAGTTAAAATATTTCTTGTAGGTAGTAAAGTTGTTTTATAATGTTAAAAGATTTGATATAAATTAAGCTATGTACCTTAATGTAAGTTATTAATATGCAGCAGTAACATTCAGAGTCCAACAATATCCAATAAATTTGAGTTATTGAAATAGAATAAATCAACAGAAAGGTATATTAACATTTAAATATACCGGCAATATTTCTCGGTTATCATTATCAAACGGTCGGCATTGCATTCTTGCGATAATATTTTATTTTATTTATTTTTATTTTTGGTAATTGCAGCCAACAGTTAACGGAAGTAAATTAGTTATGACAATTCTCTTTCAAATTTGTGAATTATAAAACAATTATATATTATTCATGTTTTCTACACATTTATATTCGGAAGTTCATATGATTTTTCATTGGTGACTTATAATTCTTTTTATTATATTCATGCATTTCAGAGGTATAAACAATTAAATTGCATCTATTAGTAACAAAAGAAGATTTTGTTTTTTTATGTTTATTTCATAAAATTTGAATTCAAATCTAAAAGCTATTTTATTTAAGCAATCAGTTTGTTTAATTTAATTTTAAAGCTAATGCTTAAGTACTAATATGTAAAATTTTTATGTAAATTGTAATTGAATTCCGATACTGATATTCTAATTCATTAAATTCTGAAAACATTCATATGAATTATAATTTAGTCCTTAAAAAACTCCTCTTACAAACATTTTCGTGGTATTATACCCTATCTACAAGACACAGTATTCTTTATTCAACAAAAATTATATTTCTATATAAGTATATAATGTACGAAATTGTTTTAAAAAGTTCAATATTTTATTTTTAAATTATAGATTCGTAAACTACATTTCGTATAGGGAAGAATTAAGTATATTTAGATTGAGGTAGATATTCAATTCAATTTCGTTTAAAATTAGAACATTTAGATTATTAAAAATAAGCGAGTGTCATTAAACAATCTGCATAATCGTTATCATAGAAAGAAATTCCTAATTTTAATTAATCGATGAAAAGATGTTCGAATCGACGAAGAAGGGACAATTCAAACAATATATACATGTAGTTGATATTTTCGAAAACCTGCTCAAACGAAATAATATATTCAATAATATTGATCAATTCGAATAACCTCGAATGAAAGAAAAATACATATTCTCTGGCGAATCGGCAGAATAAACAAAAGAGTTGTTCGTCCGTGCGACCAAACTGCAATTTCACGTGCACCGGCGCGACTCGCTAAATGAACACAAATGAACTCGCATTTCCGTGCCGAGTCACGCGTTTACGCGCACCTGTTTCAAGCGAAATGTGCAATTTCCCGCCGGATCCACGAAAAAAGAAGAAGAAAAAAAAAAGAAGCCACGGTAAATGCAAATCACTGGAAATTCCTGATCTACATAGAAATGACTGTTTGCACAAAGAGGCCAGAACAAATTGGTAAGGGGAGAAGTAAAAAGGGAAAAAGGAACGAGACAGAGAAATCGTAAAAATGGAAATGTGCAAAATAAAAACTATTTTTTTTTTCTAAAGGCGTATTTATATAGTCGTTGGTATTTAAATGATTCGTTGAATAATAAAAATTATTAGACTGTTTACCTGTTAATCGAAGATTTTGAAATTTTGATTTTTATTAATATTTGAACTTTCCTTGTTACTAAATTGACTAAATTAAACAGACTAAATTTTTATATCCAATTGCAAGTAAGATTCATACAAATCCTGACATCTCACGTATAAATCACATTTATAAGTTAATTTGTCGCCTTATATTTGTAACAATTGCGTTACAATTAAACCATAAATGCATCTTCGAGAAAGGAATGTATCGAATGTATAAAAATTGTTTATAATAATAATTGGAAGGCAACATACAGCCTGTTATTACGAATATTACTTATTTGCAACTCTGACAGCATACTTTGTTATCAAAAATTTCAAAATTTTCTTATCGTGTATTGCATTTTATGCAATTTCACACTTTAATATTTCCCATAAATGCATAAAAATTCATAGCCTATCTTTTTATGCATTTGCGCATATACGATGAGAAAAAGTATATAAAATATTCAAAACATAGCTTTTTATAACATTCGACACAACAAAAATTTCCTACTTTTCAAATTGCATTTTTAAAAATATGAATTTACATAAAAATCAGTCTAGCTATACTTAGAATTCTCTGCATAATATGACATTTTATAAAAAAAAAAAATGTATCAAATTAACAACGTTAATAATGTTATGTCTTTTAATATCTCAAAACAATTGTTCCAGTTAGCTGAGATATAAATTTTATTTAAATAAGAAATGAACAACTCAAATAATGGCGAAATTTAAATTCGCAAAGAAATTCCAGTAATGAGAAACATGCCTGCATTAATTACACATACATTGAATATAGAAGAATCTTTACTTTCTCACCCGCTGTGTGATGTAAAAACACCTTTGAAAAACTCGAACTCACGACTGTCAAAGTATAATCTTCATGCTTTAAAAGAGACCATTTTGAACCTTAGTGAAATTGTTACACGATTGTTCCTTACGAGATTGTAACAGTTAAAATTTTTCGTCGTCACACGTTCACATTGGTTTAGTAATTACTTTTGTAATTAACTGACGATTTCAACGCTTCGACTCATCCAATAAATTGCTAACAATAAGAATCGAACGGATATAGAAGGATAAACGAATGGAAGAAAGACGCAAGGAACGAGAGAACTAGAGAGAACTACTGCCACACTACTCGCTCGTAATCACGCGAACGTTGAACCTTCCTATAATCTGAAACGTACCATTCTCGGAAGACAATTTGCGCCCAGTGGAGGGCAAAGTGAATCTAGAAGACTGCGGGTGAAGAGAAGGCCCAGAAGGGGTGAGAGAAGCGGAGAAACGGAGGAAGAGGAGGGAGAAGAGGAGTTGGAGGACGAAGAGGAGGAGAAGCTAGATGAGAGAGAGAGAGCTTGGTTGAAGTCGAAGAGAGCTCGTAGCTGATTACCAGCTCGCAATGATGATCGGTTCCCAACTAGCTGCGGAGAAGGCACCTCGTCAACCTGCCTGCTTGGCTTGTCGCTACCATGCTACACTACGAGACGCTGCACGCTCTACGCTCTCTCTCTCTCTCTCTCTCTCTCTCTCTCTCTCTCTCTGTATATACGTTACACGCTGCTTCGGGCTTGCGGTCTTTTATGACCACGAGCGACCAACTACGTGCTGACAGTGAATGCCTCTGTAAACCGGCTAACCATTCGACTTAAACTATCAGGAATTTTTTATGATTTTTTTCTTCTCTTTCTCTCGCTCTCTCTCTCTCTTTCTTTCTCTCTTGAGTTTCTGGAACGTCTGAAAACAACTGCAGACGCAGCGAGAAACTCGTCAAACAACGCGGCAGCGTGAAATTTTACGAACGTGCCCGGTGATTCGGACGACACTTTTTCCTAGAACTCTCGGCAAATATTTTCGTTAAGACACGCCAGTCGCGAGAACGAGATGAAATTTGTCGCGATGCGAAGTTTGTCGAATTGGAAGAAAAAGATCACGTTTTCGGATGGTTTTGTAAGCGTTGGTTCACTTTAGAGAAAAATAATTGAAAGATGCGCGAGTGACTGTGACTGGAAGCAGACGAAATGTCTGCGATTGTATTTCCATATTTTTGGAATTTCCGGATTAAATATGTAAATCAACATTTGGACCTTCAGACGACAGAGGTGAGATTACATTCATTTTTATATTTTTATATAAATATATTCTATTGCTAAATAGAATATTGGATACTTATTATTAAATGCACGTTTTAATATTTTGCGGAAAAAACAGCATTATTTAATATTAAATAGTAATATTAAATAATGCTGTTAATAATATTTGTAGTATCGTTAATACCATTATTTATGGTATCTAATATTTATAATATTAATAGTATTATTTATTTAATTATTATACTACTATATTAATAATATTATATTAATAGTATTATTTATTTAACTATTATACTATTATATTATTAATAATATTATATTAATAGTATTATTTATTTATTTTTTAGTATAATTTATTTAATATTATTATTAATATTATTTTATTTAATAGTATTATTTATTTAACTATTATACTATTATATTATTAATAATATTATATTAACAGTATTATTTATTTATTTTTTAGTATAATTTATTTAATATTATTATTAATATTATTTTATTTAATAGTATTATTTATTTAACTATTATACTATTATATTATTAATAATATTATATTAACAGTATTATTTATTTACTTTTTAGTATAATTTATTTAATATTATTTTATTTAATAGTATTATTTATTTAACTATTATACTATTATATTATTAACAATATTATATTAACAATATTATTTATTTATTTTTTAGTATAATTTATTTAATATTAATAGTAGTGTTTATTTATTTACTATATATCTATATTAATGATTAAATGGAAAACAGTATAGAGGATGAGCACAATTTCTAAATGTGAATTACTGTCAACTAGTTCTGGTATTGAAAAAATGAAAAAGAAAATATATCTCTGGAAAAATTATTCATGCTAGATTGCAATCTCCTCGAGACCATTCGCTCTCATACAGGTAGTTTACCAGTAATTCATATTTATAGATCACAACCAGTTACCCCGTATAATTTTTGTTCTAAAAGTATGAAATCCGGCTATTATAATTATTTACTACATAATTAGACTGCATGCAAAATACAAAAATGTATAAAATATTCGACGTAGAACACTTTCTATATTTAACTCTAATGCGTTCTCTCGGCTACTTTCGATCTCAAAAATTAATATCTCAGGTGTAAACGAAATATAAAAATATCCTTGTTCTTCGATTAAGTTGTATGCTAAACATCTTTTCAAAAACTATTATAAATATTAATTTTTAAACCATTATAAATGGACGAAGCATATTTTTATTCAGGTTTCATTCCTTCGATTCGTGAAAAGTATAAAAACACATAAACATCTACTGATTATCAACTACATATAAATAGGTATAATCTCTCTCAAGTGATACTGTACTTCATAAATTCTCGTTTCGGGGCATGGAATTGAATGAATTTGTCGAAAGAATGGCCCGATGTGGCTCAAAAGTGGTGAGTTGATTGGCAGGTAGTCGGTGAGCTCTGTTAGTAGCATTCGGGACACTGGGTTTTGTCGCAGAGGTGACGGATGTCTCGACACTGGCCATCAGTCTCCGTCTTTCTCCCTTTCCTTCTTCCTCTACGTTCCACCGAGAGACAACTCGAAGAAGTGGCTGGACCACTTTGTCCTACTCTCGGATCTGTTCCTTTTCTTTTTTTCTGCGCATCGTCGACGAGTCAATCCGACACCGTGCCGCATTCTGTCCACTTTTCGCCGCCACTTTGTCAAAGTACCATCGTCCTCAACAAGAGCTCAACGGTAAAAAGCATTTTCTCCAACACGCCAATATATAATTCATTCGTCGCTGTACTTTCTAATCGTTTTCCATGAACTCTTTCACCAGTAACAACGTCATATTACCTTTAATACGGATAATTACTATTGCTAATTATCATTTGGTAAGTAAAGGAACAGAATATAAGCATGTAATTGTAATATATTTATACTTTTTTAGGATGTAATGAGAGAAGAGGTACAGATTAACTTTAATTTCTACTCATAAGAAATTTATAACTTTATGGTTTAAATTAATATACATGTATATAGCAATCAGTAATTTCAGTTTATAAGACTTTTAGTAATTTATTGAAATATAATTAAAATTAATAAAATTAGTAATAGAAAAATTAAAAGAATGATATGGAAGTTATTGACTAATTTCAATTTATAAATTCTAATCATAACTTATATAGTAATTTAAATTTTAATGTGCAAAACATAAAATAACGTTATAATTTTAATTTATAAAGTTAGTTTAGTAACTTATCTAATGAATAAAGATCATTCTTTTAATATTTTCCCCTTTACAAATTAGAGTTAGTAAATTAATAGTTTAGTAAGTCATTAAAAAGTTTTATAAATTGAAGTTACTGACTTTAAACTTCAAGTTAAACTTTAATTATTATTAACTAATTATTTAATAATTTAATTATTACTAACTATTAGACCTTTGAACTTTAATTATCATTATAATTTATCAATTTTAATCATTAAACTATTTATGGTAAGTAAAGTTTAAATTCTAATGTATATTTTTAAAATTGAATTACTACTATGTTACTATATTACTATAATAAAATTATTGTTTAAATTATTTAAGTGTGAGAATAATTTGTACTTTATAAATAATAGAGATAAAAATATAAACGTACGAACAGAATAAATAACATAATTGACTTTTATCGTTCATTAGATAAATTCCACTTTTTATATTATTTTAAAATTTCAATTAAAATAATCTCTTGGTGTAACTTGAACAAGTATTTCGTTGAAAATATTTCAAAGTATTGTAAACTATATTTACGAGTATACGGTACTACTCCATTTAACAAATCTCATCGGCATATAATCGAATCATACAACTAGTATACATATTCATATAGCAATAGAACTTCATTAAGTTTTTCCCGCTAACTATCCAGTTGCTCTCTCAAATAATAGAAATTCATGTTCGAATGAATCGGTTCAATGACCAGGAGTTCAATTAGTCGGATAGAAACTAAAATTTTGTTTCAATAAATGGATTTCAGATAAATGGAGTTCTACTACGCTTTGCTTGAATGCATTCAGTGACACGAATGAAAATGAATTCTATTCATTTCTGCTCGGCAAGGCATTCTTCCGTTACTGATTTAGCGCACAATATTAATCCCTATGACGTACTATTGAAAATACTCTCTCGAGAACAGCTCAGGTTGGCGAGTTTTGCAACGATTTGAACAAAAGCGTTCTTTATCGATTGTACAGGATGTTTCAGCTTTTGTGGTGCAAATGAAAAGAGAGAGAGATTCTATATGCAAGCCTAAACTGAAAGAGAAAAATAGCATTTTTTCTTTGAGTTAACAACGTAACTCTTAATTGACGTAATTGGACCACTGTCCAGGTTATCAAAATTCAAGACTTAACTACCTAATTTTGAAATTTTTAATTTGATTTAACTTTATTGCTAATTTCAGTCGTAGAGGATGCAAAAGTCGAACCAAAATTAAATGCTTTAAATTACTCTAATTATCTATGATCTAACGATAGTTAAGTTAAGGTTTCATTTTAGGATCAAGTTTAAAAATTTGTCAAACTTACTTTTCGGCTAACTTAATTTCGTATTAGACATTACTTGTGAAAATGAATGAAGAACATAGAATGAAATTGTGCTGTTTAAGATAAGCTTTCAAGAAAATACAGTTCATAATAGTATAAATTAATATTTAGTTAAAAATTGACTTAGTACACGTGTAATTGATGAATTTTCAAATTTAGCTTTCTTGAATATGATATGAAACTTTAAGTTTAATTTTATTTAATCAAAATGTTTGTGCATTTGTATTTTGTACCTACTTATTATAATTTAGTATTTCGCTACATTATATTAATTCTTGTACATTTTTTTTTATACTATACATTGACTGACATGTTAATTTTTTTTATATACAGTATGCTAAAATATTCCAGCTTTTGTCAATTTGCAAATACTTCATGCATTACATAAAACATGTATTCACGTATTTAATCAATAATATTTGAATCTCATATTTATTATATGCTTCTATCTTGTCAAGAATTAACAAAACTTACCTATGTCTGACAAATTTTCAATCTTAATTTCCTCAAAACCGAAAATCTTAATCTAATGATTACCAATCTTTTTTTTGTCTTTACCTTTCTAAAATGTAGAGACTGTTTGCATTCCAAATAAAAAATTGAAAAAATCTTCTACTTTAGGATACAATATGATCCGACGAAACATAAATTTTTTTTCTATCAAATAAAAATTTACTTTAATTTAAATCAAAATTTATTTAATACTAAACTTATATAAATTTACTTCGTTAAATCAATTTTAAATACAATCAAATTTAATTTCAATAAATGTTACAATCAATGAAAAACCTGCACAGTTACATATATGTCCACTAGCAATAAATATAGTACACAATAAAATCGTATAATAATTTCCTCCTGTCTTAAAAAATAAGGAAACAAAAACCTTGGAGAAATTTATTCACACATTTTCCCTTCATTTCTACCACGAAAACTGAAACAGCCTGTATAAAAGATCCATAAATTCTCTTAGAATCGAACGAAAGGTACCGGGGTGAGTGGCTGCGCCATTGGTTGATGGCACGAATCTGAGAAACTGGGAAGGACCGACATGCCTCGATAATCTAGATAAGTACGTCTCGTAAGAACGAGGGACTGAGGAAAGAGTAAAGGCTTCGAACAGTTGCACGGTGACCGTCCAAGCTTGAAACGTTTTCATCAACGATTCACCCGACAAGGTGCTCTTGTCCGTAAGATCTCGCGATCACGCGGATTCCTTCGTTAACGAGCGAATTCATCGCGGTTCTCTCTTACGGTGACTTTGATCCAGCGACGACCACCAGTCAAAGAAACGTAAATAGGTGATAAAGCAGCCGGAAGACACGAAAGCTTACGTTTTAAGAGCTGCTACTGTAGCTGTTTCCTTTCATTACCGGTGGGGCCTCGCCGTTTTTTCTTGCGCCTTTAAACTCACGATCTTCTTAACCGCCTCTCCCCACTCGAGATATACATCGTTTGAGGAGAATTATTTCAAAGAAATTACATCAAAGAGTCTGCGGGAGAGACCTTTTGTAAAACTTACCGGCCTACCGGCGAGATTCTCCCAAGTGAAATGTAGCTTGTGAACTTGCGCTGGCACCGGCACGACGAATTTAATAGCGTACTCGTTTATCACGCCCTCTCTTACGTAAAACAATTCCGCCTGGAGACCTGCAACAGCACGACAGATATTTTTATTGATCAAAGCTTCTGCATTGATTATTAATCGTTGGTAACATAAAGGAAAATGTCAAGACTCTTTTATTTCTTTCTCCTTTCTGTGTTATTATTTTAACAAGAGTTAAATCCATACCTGAAGTAGTAGGTTCTGAAATATCGAGAATTTTGACACCGAGTTAATAACAGGTAGTTTAAATCAGTATCGTGTAATATTTGTCCTTGAAATTGAACGATATAAATAATAACTAATAACTTTTAAAGCTAACATCATTGGAATGTTCATAAATATAACTGAACGATCCTAAAAGTAAAAGGAAGTATCGATAATTTCTTTCTTTCAACAATGTTATCATTGTATTAAACACATTGAAAGTTTTTTTAATAGGACTTAATATTGTAATATGTTTAAATATTTAAAAACGTAATATATCAATGACAACTATTGGAATAGCGTTGTAATTTTAAATACAGTTTCACATTTCATTATCAAATGAAATATTTCTCTTTCGACAGAAAGAAACAGAATAATATGAATTATTTGACAATGATTTGAATTAAAGTACCCAATCTTAATTTGATTGTCCTACATTTTGTGCGATAAATATTATTAATCTTTGTTGTGTAAAATATAGGACAGAAATTGAAATTAAGCCTAACTTCAAATTATGTGACTTTACTGACTCACTTAGGACTCAATGAAAATTACTTTTTTATTCGTAAATATTTCTTTAAAATACTGAAATTATTATATTTTCTGATAATCTTGAACAACAAAATTAATTATTGTGAAACTATTTACATGTTTATTTATAATTTATTCATAAATTTTGGATATAAACTTTATCGATTGTCCACGAGATGTTAGCGTTATGACGTCATGACAAAAAGAGGGTGAAGAGTATTAATGGTCTATTTCAAGAGCCTATCAAGTATACCTATAGTCCAGAGATGATTCATAGAAATGCATTCGTTTTGTGTTAGAATCAACCCAGCGTGTGTGCCATAATTTTTGTCGGATTTTTATTATTGTTACATTTATATCTTCAATATTTACTGTTATAGTAAATCATTCTTCAAATATAAAATTTAAAATTATACGAAATTTACTAAGCTCACATACATTGCAATTAATTCTAAAATAAACACATAAAACTTTGAATAAGCGTAATATTAAATCCGTTCAACATCAAATTTTATTAATCGTAATAATAATTACTACAGTCTGCACGGTTTTTTCAATTAAATGTAGAAAGTTTCTTAATTTATCCTTTAATTGTATCATTTTCGTTTCATTCTATTTGGGAGAATTTCTATCAGTTTTTTGATTGAGAAAATGATGATCGAAATAAAAATAAGACGATTGGAAACAACGTTAACAACGTTTCATATGTATATGAAACAAATGAAAGATTTACTATACTACAGATTTCAATTAAATAAAGATTTAATATTTATCGAAAGAAAAGATATAGAATCGAATATTTCATTTGATTTTATACCTGTTATACCTATTATATTTTAACAAGATAAAAACGAATATCGAACGAAATTAGATTTAAAATTAACGCAGGCCGACGAACAGTCGCACAGAAACAAAGTAAAAAATTTAGATATAAGCTTCGCTAACTATCCATTTATATCCAGTGAAATGGGAACAGTTGGAGAAAATTAACTTGTAATTAAATAGTACTTTGAAAGAGGGCAGTAGATTGCAGCGGAGTTACCAATATAGGAAATTGACAGGAATGATGACCTTCCATCGTTGGGGAAATGTGCATATTTCAAACGGAGTAAATATCTTTCAGGAGACAGCAGAACGTCTACGAACTTCGCCACGAGTAATCGACTACCCAAACGCGAATACAAATCGTGTGAACCGAAGCGAAAACCCGAAGAGACCCAGCTTCACCTTGTAATTTACCAAGTGAGAAAGAATAAGTAATGGCAGTACGAGGCACATTGTCTCGGAAAGAAGGTGGTCTCGCTTTGTCGATTTAGTGGGCTTGTTATTTTCTTGCGCACATTTTTACAGAACGCAAAGTTTAAAAGCGCATCGAAACGTGCGCCTCATGTTACCTTTGTGCCATTTAAAAAGTGAATTATGATTACAGGAATTTATACGGGTATTTAAGGGAATAATTCGTCAATTTTGTCCCTTTGTTGTTGAACTTTCGTCTTTTGTTCGATTGAAAGTCATTTTATAAACGAATAATTTTTATAAAAATACAGCAACAAAGCGGAGTTTGTAGTTAGGGAGAATATTCGAGCATGCTGTTGACGTAAATGCTATTATAATTGTGACATCAATAGATTACTTCATTGTCTATAAAATATTTATATTGTATTATATTAAATATTATTTATATTCATGCTGATTATATTAAAATATTATTTATATTTATGTGTAGATGTTTATTATTATTTATAGATTTTTACAAATTATTCTATTTAATATAGACAAAATAATAATATTATACAATATGATACAACAATGTAATATTATTGTAATATTATTTTCAACGTGATAAATTACACATTCTTTTGCTTTTACAATTATTGAAAACATAAAGATGTATTGAACAAAATTAATATTGATATTTTTATTGAAATATATTTCTACAAATTTATTCATTTTTCTTACAACTTTAATAATGACCATTCATGCAGATAAAAAATATTGTACAAAATAATTTTCTCTAAAAATCTCGAATGAATAAATTTCACTCTATTATTTTGATCTGTTTTTATACTAAGAATTTCTTTCTCACTTGCACAACATTTTTAGCCATACTTTGTATATATATTCTACATTTAAAAAAACATTCTAAAAATCAATAATTTTAATTTTAAGCAATATTAGAATGACTGATAGCTGTACAAGGTTTTATATTAACAAATTTTTCAATAAAAATATTATAATTTATAAAATTAGACTTTTGATTTAGTTTGACTACAAATGAAATTAAGTATAGCTTTAAATACCATTTATATTGAAAATAAAAAACACTAGACTATCATTTAACTTTAGTAAACAGGAAATTAAATGCAACCGTATTTGGATATGGTACTGGATGACCAACCCGAACAATATTGATCAATATGAATCTATGCAAATACTGACAATGAACTAGCAATAGTCCACATAAAAGTAGACTGTGAATAATTAATCATAAGGACAAGATCCAATAGTTGGTCATTTATGCTCCTTCCCCTTCTACTTGACGATGATAACCAAATACATATAAAGATATGCTTTAGAGACATTCAAGAGCATAAAACATTCTAAATCATTATAGAGACATTCTACATCATTAAGAGCATAAAACATTCTAAATCATTCTACGTCATATTCAAAAGCATTAAACATTGTAAATCATTCTACATCATATTCAAGAGCATTAAACATTCTAAATCATTCTACATCATATTCAAGAGCATTAGACATTCATCATATTCTAAGACGTACTAAATCATTGTAAATCATTCTATATCATTCTATTTCATACACGAGCACGACTGTAGGGGAATAAATTCTTCTAAATTATAAACGTGTTGACTTCACTACACGGAATTCAACAATGATTCTAAAATCGTCCAAAACATTGTATTTTTTTAATATTTCAAACCTTTAATTTTAGTAAAAAAAAAAAGAAATTAAATATAACTGTTAATTACCCACTCATTGGATATGATCTCGACATTCTCTAAAAATATTTTGAACATCATTCGCAAAGTGACTAGACTTCCATCTAATTTTAATAAAAAGAGCTAAACGTAGTCATAGCCAGTGGTCATCCGTGCACCACAATTTCCCAAAGACATTTTAAACGGCACACGGTGGTGGAAAGTTGGCAAATTCTCGTTGAACGATTTCGGTGTCCAGTAACGCCGCGGCACCTGGATGTTACGCTACCGAGTAGTAATCCGCATTCAGAAGCCACAAGGTTACGTGGGCGAGTCGGCGGAAGGTGGAAGATCGGTTAAAGAGAAAAAAGGGGAACGAAGGGGGAGCGAAGATGGCGCGAGAGGGAGAAGGAAAACAAGCACACGTCGTGTACTCCCTTCGAGGGTCTATGCTTGTTGTATCAGATACGACGGTTAACGAGGCACGAGTTGGATTTTTAAGTCACCCGAAGACAATGTGCCGTAGCCCCCACAATCGTGTCTTTGCTTTTGGTCCTTCTTCTTCGTTCGCCGTCCCTCGGCCCCCTCGGTTCCATCGGCCTTCGGCCTTTACCGGTTTTCTGCATCAGATATCGTATGCCCACGACCTCAGCACTGGCTATTTCTCCGGCCAAAGCACAGCCGGCTTCCCTCCTGGGGACCAAGCGAACAGTGTCCGTCGTAAAAAAAAAAAAATACGCTGGGTATCCCTGCGCCCTGTAGGATCCTCTCAGAAAATAATTACCTTTAGATTCTTGAAACCACGCTGAGTTATCGCTGTTAAAAATCGTATCTCCGTATCTTCACCCCCTCACGAGACACTTTTATAGGTGTTCCGAGAGATCGATAATCCTCGCTGTGTCAAGAATCACCGAGTCATCGCGGGCGAGACTCTTTGTTCGGACGTTCGAGGAATAACAAGATGTTGACTCTTGGATGAATCTCGCTTCCTAGAGAACGTCAACTGCAACGTTCCGACGTTACAATACCACCTATTTTCCTATTTTAGCTGCGGTGCAACAATTGTTGTTTCTATCGAAATACTTCTGAGTAATTTAGTTAATTTCAATAATGTGAAAGTATCATAAAAAAATAACGTTTTTCTATTTTGATTGTAGTATTTCTTATCGAACTTGCGAGTATAAAAGATAGCAACGTTTCAATGATTTTTTTTATTTTAGCTTAATAACGCTTCTCTATTTACTCAGTTCGATGTGAAATCTCAAAAGAGACTGACAAGAAGTTCGTTAAAAACATTATAAAATTATTAAAATTACCGAGTATTAATTATGAATAATTCTATTTAGCTTCGATGCGAATAAAACTGA